TTTCCTTCCTGAGCACAAGTCAAGTGGGCCAGTAGGGTTTCAAACTGTTCCTCTGAGGGAGGGAGCTGGTGAGGCCAGAGTCAGGGTACAATCCCACCAGTGGGATTCCAGACCTGGCCTGAGGTCTAGCCTTAAATGTAGGCTGAGTCAAGTGAGTTCTCAGACCCAGACAGCCCCAGCTTAGTACCTGCCCAGTGCTGGGTCCTGGCCTGCCCTAGCTCCAGTTCTAACTTGGTCTTAGCCCCTCCCATTGATGTAGGCCACACCCACAGGATCTAAAGCTTGCCAGGTGAGCTCGGACCAGGCCTACTGAGGTTTTTCTTTCAGCAAAACATTGAAACTTTAGCCTGGGTGCTGGAGCGATGGCACAGCAGTTAAAGCATTGAGGGTTCTTCCTGAGTTCAATTCCAGCACCTACATGGCTCACAACGGTCTATAACTAACTGTAGTTCCATGGCCCCATGGGATCTAATTCTCTCTTCTGGTGTGTATATGGACATGCAGACAAAGCATCCATATACATAAATAAATTTTATTTTAATTGTTTTGAGATGGGGTTTCTCTGTGTAGCCCTGGCTGTCACTGAGGTCACTCTGTAGACCAAGCTGACCTCAAACTCAGGGATCTGCCTGCCTCTGCCTCTGGAGTGATTAAAGGCATGTGCCACTGATGTATGCTGTGAATACCATTGGTTAATAAAGAAACTGCCTTGGCCTGTGATAGGGCAGAGTAAACTAAACCGAATGCTGGGAGGAAGAAGGTGGAGTCAAGAGAAACCATGTAGCCCTGCCAGAGACAGCCACAGCCTTGTGGCAATACACAGATTAATGGAGATGGATTAATTTAAGATATGAGTGAGCCAGAAATACACTTAAGCTATGGACCAACCAATGATTTAATTAACACAGTTTCTGTGTGGTTATTTCAGGAGTCTGGGTGGCCAAGCAGCTTCCTACAATATGTCTCCACTGCTGGAAATAAATAAATAGACAGACAGACAGATAGATGAATGTAGATGGATAGATAGAGATTTCTTTTTTTTTTAAAGATTTATTTATTATATATACTGTATTCTGTCTGTATGCCAGAAGAGGGCCCCAGATCTCATTATGGATGGTTGTGAGCTACCATATGGTTGCTGGGAATTGAACTCAGAACCTTTGGAAGAGCAGACAGTGCTCTTGACCTCTGAGCCTCTCCAGCCTCCCAGATTTCTTTTAAAGAAAATTTAAGCCTGAAATCTGTAACTTTAGTTTTAGCCTTTGGTATCCATGCGTTCTGGATCTTCCGAATTAACAAACCATAGATGGAAATTTTATTTATTATTATTATTTTGTTTTTTTGAGAGAGGGTCTTTCTATGTAGCTCTGACTGTCCTAAAACTCACTACGTATACCAGGCTGAGTTTGAACTCACAAAGATCCTCCTGCCTCTGCCTCTTGAGTGCTGAGATTAAAGGCGTGAACCACCATGCCTGGTGGATGGAAAATTTAGATTTACAATAGTTGTATCTGTCCTGAGAAGGTCCAAATTTTCACCGGTCATTATTTACCAAATAATATAACATTTTCTTGTGTTGGGTATTACAAGTAATCTAAAAAGAATTTAAAGTATAGGATTGCATGGGCTACAAACAAATATTCTATGCATTTTATACAAGGAACTTGAGTATCTGCAGTGTTTGCTACCAGTAGAGTTCTGGAACTAACAGGAAAAGCAGGAACGACAGTACTTCCAGCTTGGGTTTCCAGAATAGCCAGCAGGGGGCACCAGCAGCCACCTGTCTAAAGATTTCTCAAAACAACAGAATCCTGGTCACTCTGAAAGAGTGATATAGGATTTCTACCTCAGCAGGCCTGGCAGGGACTTGCCTGTGGGTCACGGTAAAAACTCATTCCAACCTACTAAGGTCTTATGCTGCAGTACTACCATGGAGTGCTGGAGCCTGGCCTTCACCAGCTGCACTGTGAACAGCTTAACACAAGACAGTCTCTGAGGCACTCAAGAGTGAGTACCAAGATTCTGTGAAGTCACCTGAGATACCAGGATGATTTTGAGTATCTTCTGGAGCCCAGGGACTCTCTGAGTGCCATAAAAAGCCCCAGTTGTGTGGCTGTCACCTTCTTTCTGTCTCCCGGTGGCAGAGCTGCTCCAGAACTTGATAGTCTCAGTCAGCTGGACAAGGGGAACAGTAAAATGCTGCAGGTTCCTGGAGGGGGGCAGCGGGCAGCGGGCCGTGAGACCACAATCACAGCGGACATTGGCAGTGGGTAGCCAGTCCCAGGCAGGGGGCCGCATGGTGCGTGAGACACCTCGGTGGGCCAGCCAGTACCACGAGGAAAGACAGACAGATGGGCACGCCATCAGTTCTCTGAAGGTGACTGGTCCCGGGGAAGAAAGCCACGCAGTGGGCGAGAGACAGAGACATGGATAGGCTCACCATGCAGAGTGAGGATAGTTAGTGGGTTATGGAAAGGAAGGGGAGAAGGGGGGAGAGCAGTGAGAGAGGCAGAGGCAGAAGAAACAAGGAACGGACTCAGGCTGGAAGCTGAAGATCAGCTTGCCTGAGAGGAGGAGGGGGAGAGTGGGCATGGCTTGTCTCTTACAGGGGCAGAGCAGACCATTACAACAAGGAGTCAGCAAGTCCAACTGGTAGTAAATAATAATTAGGCTTCTTCCCAACTGAGATGCAGGAGTGGGACCCATGCACTCCCAGGAATCTGAGCTGTAAAGGTGGCCTCATCCATATAGAATGAGAGAGACCTGCGGGCAAGGGGTTGAATACCCCAGTTTTCAGAGAGTTGTTAGTAGAGTCAGATTAGCCATCAGACCCAAACCTCCATCCCTGTTTGAACTAGTTATTAAGTGGGACCTGAAATACCATCTTTTGGAATTTGAAAATTGGCATATAGAATGTCCTTATACCAAGAAAACATTTCAAAAAGGGTTGAGAGATGGCTTAGTTGGTAAACTGTGACCTGAGCACAATCCCCAGAACCCAAGTTAAAATAAAAATAATAGTAATAATAATGATAATAATAATAAGACTCGGGGTTAAGAACACTGACCTTTCCTCCAGAAGACCCAGATTCAATTCTCATACTGTATTGACAAGGACTTATACCATCATGTATAACTTCGGATGCCTTGCTCTGGCCTCCTTGAGCACCAGGCATACTAGTGCCTATACACATAAAGTATAATAAAATAATTAAAACAAAATTTAGAAAGATGGGCATGGAGGCACACACCTTTATCCCAGCACTCAGGAGGCAGAGGCAGATAGGTCTCTGAATTTGAGGTCAGTCTGGTCTACATACATTGTTAGGGTTGCATAGAGGGACCATGTCTCAAAAAGAGAGAAAAGGGGACTGGAGAGACAATTAAGAAGTTAAGAGCCCTGGCTGCTCTTCCAGAGGTCCTGAGTTCAATTCCCAGCAACCACATGGTGGCTCACAACCATCTGTAATGAGATCTGGTGCCCTCTTCTGGCCTGTGGGCATACATGCAGGCAGAACACTGTATACATAATAAATAATACATCTTTAAAAAGGAGAGAGAGAGAGAGAGAAGAAAAAAATTTCAGAAGTAGAGGACCCTGGGCACTCCACTGTTCCCTCCTGTGGGTTTCCTCCATGGACTGTGATGTAGGATCCTAGCATAGCCCCTGTCCCCAGATTTGGGGGGCACAATTGACATTGAATAGGCTAGGATCTTTTTTTTCTTCGAAGAGAGGATCTTACTCTGTAACCCTGGCTAGATGGCAACTCACTATCTAGACCAGGCTGTGCCAGAACTCACAGACATCTGGTTGTACCTGCCTCCAGAGCTCTGGGATTCAAAGCCCATGTTACAGGCCTGTGGGTCGTGATTTTGACACCAGTAACCTGGACCTCTTTCTGTCCTCTCTTCGCTCAGGTGTCCAGTTCTCTTTCTGGAATTTCCCAGACTCTGGGGACCTGACCTTTGCTCTCTGCTCTGTGGCTCAGAGTCTATGACTCAAGTTTGTTTAGAATACCACCCCAACCCATCTATTCCCAACACACCTATTTACCTTCCTCAACCTTTTTAGTGAGCTATGATTATCCTGATCCCAGCCAGGCCTCTGTCCTCAGCTCTCGGTCCTCTGTGCTGTCTGAATTTCTTCCAACCTTGGTCTCCTGGACACCTTTGATCTCTTGAATGTACGTGTGTGTGTGTGGGGGGGGTGTGATCGAGGAGGCGGCTGTGGTGTTTGGGTGGCTACTTCTAGTACTGACACACCAAACCACACAAGGACACAATTTACAGAGGCAAAAATACAGTGTGTGTAGTGCCCTAGCTTCTACAACCATGTCTCATAGTGTTGAGCATTCTTTGTTGTTGTCATTGTTTTTGTCTGTTGGTGTGTTTGTGAAACAAGGTCTCGATATGTCCATGCTGGACATACTCAAACTCAGGAGCTTCCTGACTCAGCCTCTCAAGACCTGAGGCCACATTTCCACTCCGGCCTCCATTGGGAACTTTGATGGCTGGCATTAGGAAGATCAGGACAGCTGGTGTCACCCGTCCTACATGGGGGAGGGACCAACTACTCTGGAAGAGTGGGTATTTGGGCCAGGTTCCAAAGGAATTCACTGGGTGAGCATTTCGTACAGACTCTCTTACTAACTAGTTGGGGGATTCCAGAAGCCAGACTGGGCCTTATGCAAGACACCGAGGTCGTTGTCATCGGCAACCAATTCCAAAAGAAAGAAAATTCCCAGGAAGTGGTCGCTGTGGCTCTAGTTACGCAGCCAATAATGGCAGTACCTGAGTAGCATTTAAATCTCAAGCACCTTTTCGCTTCAAAACACAAGCCCGTTATTTCTTGGTTTGGAGCCCCGCCCCCCGCCCCCTCAAAGGGACGCGTCCGAAAAGCATCCTGGTCGCCCCGCGCAGCCCCTGCAGTTCCTAGGAGTCCCGAGAGGTGGCGATGGAGAGCAGCGGGGCCTGGCGGAAGAATCGTGAGCCCTCGGCCGGCTGGGGGTCGCTGGGTTAGCCGCGGCGAGGCTGCGAGTCGGGACTCTGACGTCGGGGGCGGGGCCAGAGGCCTGACGTAAGGGGCGGGGCCGAGCAGCTGTCCCTGCTGGGCCGGCGATTCATTCAAAAGGCGCGCACGCTGCGCGGCCGGCCCCCAGCGCTCGCCTCGCGGGGACCCTGCGCCGCCGGCCGGGTAAGGAGAGCGCGTTCGGCCCGCAGCCCCGCTCTGCTCCTCCAAGGAAGTTCTCCCGCGGCGGATGCGGCAGCCCCACTCTCCTGCTCCGACCTGTCCCGTCCCGGCGCATCCCGGAGCTCCCCGACTGCGCGTCCTCCCCACGCCGGGCGCTGCGCAGTCTGTCAGAAGGTGCGCGAGAAGCAGCGGAACTTGGCTGCCAAGGGTCGGTGGAACCCGGGAACTTGGATTGACACCAGAATTGGTTGTAGGACGGGACGGCAGCGCCTCGGTGCGGCTGCAACGCGGGGCTGCTGGGAAGGGGGGGTTTTGAACGGTGTCAGCCCGTGACTGTGGGTGACACGGCGCATGAGGCGGCCTGGCCCGGGTAAACGTGTGTCTGGGACCCTGGGTGGTGACACCAAGCCTAGCGGGCGACACAGAGGGGCTCTGTGTCGGAGACAGGTAGAGTGTATGTATGTGAGGCCACTGTGTGTGGCCTGCAGTGTGACCGGGGCAAGGACCACTAAAATTATGAGTATAAGGTAGAAGAGACGAATCTTAAAGAACTTGAGCAAGCCCTGAATCACGGGGTCACAGGGTGCATAAGGAGCCAAGGAGAGAGAGAGAGAGAGAGAGAGAGAGAGAGAGAGAGAGAGAGAGAGAATGTGTGTCTGTGTCTGCTTGACTCAGGACAGAGTAAGGAGACAGAAGGCAGAACCTGACACTTTCCAGCCGCTGAGGGGCCAAGGAAGATGAGTCTAGGGAATAAAGATCTCTCGAAGGCACCCTTCAGGAGTTCAGGTTAGTGAGGTTAGTGAGTTGTTTGCATCCAGATACAACCTAGCCGAGGGAGAGGAGACCAAAGCTGGGCGGCACTGGGTGGGTAGCCCCTCTAGCACAGAGAAAGACCCGAGGTGGTTTCATCTTCACACTCACACACACAGTGAAATCTCCAACGTCTGCCAGGGTCACTCTGTAGTCTGGGTCTTATTATCAGAATCCGCCCCTGCTGGGCCTCAGTCTCCCAGTCTGCACCGAGGTGTGAATAGCCTGTGCTCTGTGAATCATCACTTTGGGATCTTCTATTGTTTTTGGGTCAGTCTCTTCCATTCTTTCTCCTCCAGGCTGAAGGACTGCAGTGGGGGTGGGGGCAGGCTTCTGCTGGTTTGCATCCTTGTGCTAGGGGAAGGTTGGAAACAGTCTTGCCCACAGACTCCCGCTCAAAAGCCACCTGGTCTTTTAGATCCTGGAATCTCAATCCAAAGACATTCTCTACTCAGATCTCTTTTCTTCAGCTTCCTTTTCTGGAGAGGGGGAGTATTTGTTCTCCAACAATGAATGGTCTCTGATCTGGACTTGGAGTTCTTGCTTAAACCTCATCTGGGAAAGACTGCTCTGAGGCTCCTGCTCCCAGAAGAGGGTCAGTGCCATTCATGTAGAAAGGGTGGTAACTGGGCTCCCTAGCTCTGGAGGTGGCAGTGGGGTACCACACCTGATAGATGTGGAGGTTCTGCTTTCTCTAATTCTCTGAAAATGTTGTTGGATTTTGAGGGTGCAGCGGCCGGCCCTGCTGTAAACACTTTGCAATGTGCTGCTTTATTGAATCCTTGCAGTGGTCCTGAGACGTGGTGACTGTTGATGAGTTAGTACCTGAGGCCCAGAGAACCACAGTGACTTGTTCAAGGTTCAAAGTCAGGACAGTGCCCGGACTGGAGCTCGAGTCTTCTAGCCCCGTGAAGTGCTTGGCGAGGATCACCACCTTCCTGGTAATTGCTTGTGGCTTATCTGGGCCCTCATCTTACATACTGGGGCTGGCAGACCTGGCCCAAAGTGAGATGCGTGTGCACACACGGCTGACAAATTGCAAGTGGGTGTTTTACATGGTCTTCCTGTTCCTTCTCCCTGCTGAGCCAGAGATCACCAGAAAGACCTGCCTCTGAAGGATCTAGAGTTGGCCACACAGCCCAGGGGTGGCAGGGATACTTTGTGTTTGTACCCTGCCCAATCTGGGTCTGTGTCCCCCCATTTTCCCAGATACCCCTTCTTATTCTGATCACTGTCCCTCAGTCCTCCCTGGAATGATTGGAGCTGTGCTTTTGGGGCTGTTGAAAATAGCAGTCTTGGTCTCCAGGGGCTGAGCCCAAGTTATTTCCATCTCTAGCATAGAGGTAGAAATAGCTCAGGGCCAGGAAAAGGAGAGAAGGGAGAAGGGCTAACTAAGGGTTAACTCCCCCTTCTAGCCCAGCATCTGTGGAGCCCCCAGCTCTACTCAATGCCCCACCCAAGCCAAACCATTCTGGGAACTTGGGCCTCTGGGGATGACAGTGGGGCCAAGCTGGGTTTCTATTTGGTGTGGTAGCTGCTAGAGGGAGGTGCCTGTGTCTGTCATTGGTATAAAACAGAGGGACCCAACTTACAGAGCCAACAGGCTCAGCCCCACTTTACACAGGGCACAGCCAGCTCCTAGCCTTATTGGTCTCCTCTCCACTTTACCTCCTTCTGCTTGACCCCTGGGCAGTTGGGCAGCAAGGGAAGCAGCTTTGCAAACTGCTCCTGCTCTGGCTCTCTCTGTATGCCCAACTTCTTTTTTGGATTTTGTGTTTTCACTGCTATGGGTTGAACCCAGAGCCTTGTACATGCTAAGTTGGGCTGGGCTAGTTAGAAAAGCCAGCACTGCAACCCTGCGAAGTGCTCAGCCCTTAAGGCTATCAGCCCCTGTCCTCCAGAGTCCTTCTAGGCATAGGCAAGGAAGCCAGGAATCAAAGAGAAGTCACTTTTAAGACCCTAGTGCCACTGGGTCCAAATCCAGGTCCATGGCCTTGACGTCCAGAATTCTTTCCTGGGCTATCCACCCTGGGAAAGACGAGCACTCTATAAATAAACTGCCCATGCGGCTCCCAGAGTGTGGCTAGTTGGTTGGCACAGAGAGAGGGGGATGGAGGGGCCTTCTGTGGCCAGTTAGAGGCAGGGTCCAAATGTGAGTTTGAACTGAACTTGTTCTTGTGTGTGCTTACAGTGGGAAGGTCCTGAGAGCCCTGTACTCTGCCTCCTTCCTTGTCTCCATGAGGCAGCTTCCTCACTACTGGCAAAGGTTAAAGGAGATGAAGAAGTGATAGCTGAGTGGGTATCCTGAAGGGTGGGGTGGGGGCTGGGCTCAGGCCTGCTTGTGAAGAACTGCTGCTAGCCTGTGTGTTCTGGATCTTCTCCCTATACCATGAGATCACCTGAGTTATGGCAGGTGAGGCTGCATGGGAACCGCGGAACTGTCCCTTCCTGCTCAGTCTGCTTTCCTGACCCTTTTGGTTCTAGCTGTGTGGAAGCAAGCGCACATCGGACTCCAAGGCTACCTGGATCTCACGCTGCTGAGACTTTCGGACTTGGGCTCCTCCTGCCGTGCTTTAGACACCCAAGCACCTTGGCAGCCTTGACGGGAGGGGCACTGCTTGTTTTGAGTCTGAGTTCGCCCAATGACCCTTGTGAGGCTTTGGTGTTAGAAATGGTAGTGCTAGCTGGGCATTGGTGACGCAGGCCTTTAATCCAGCACTACCCAGCAGAGGCAGGTTGAGTTTGAGGTCAGCCTGGTCTACAAAGTGAGTTCCAGGAGACAGGGTTACACAGAGAAACTCTGTGTCAAAAAACCAAAAACACTGAAACCCAAACAGCAACAACAAAACCAAAAAGAACTGAATGGTAGATCTTGGCCAGCATTGCTTTTTTTGCTATTTTCTTTTTCATTTCTTTTTTTTGTTGTTGTTTTGTTTTCTGTTTTTCTGAGACAGAGTTTCTCTGTGTAGCTTTGGGCCTGTCCTGGCACTAGCTCTATAGACCAGGCTGGCCTGGAACTCACAGAGATCCACCTGTCTCTGCCTCCAAGTGCTGGGATTAAAAAAACCTTGCATTACCACTGCCTGACTGGCCAGCATTGCATAAGTGAAAATCCAAATATGCCCTCCACATCCTTTGAGGTCCCAAACTCAAGACGGGTTAAGTGACCTGTTCAAGGTCACAGAGCCACCTAGTGACAGCGGGAGCTGCAGCTCAGGTGGGCTGTCTCGGAGGCTAGCCTTGCCCCTGCTGGAACTAACATCATACACATGCCCAGTCAGGCCTCAGTACACCTCCTCTGCGTGGGCCTCAGTCCCCAGCACCTGAATCCTGTGATTTCTCCTCAGTTTCCTTAAATTTCTGTTCCTGGCAACCAAATTGGGATGCTGAGCGGTGGATCCTGACTCATTAGCAATAAAAAGTGGGGGGGAGTGGCCAGGGCAGCAGCTAAGCTGATTTCTGGGGTGCGGTGGGGGCGGAAGCAGCATGACTGAGGGGTGAACCTGTGTTTTCCCCCTGGGTCCTTGCTGTCCCGTCTTTGGGCCAGAGGAGGCAGTCCTTGGAAGGTCCATGTTTTTTTTTTTTTTTGTTTTGTTTTGTTTTGTCCCAAAACTCACTTTGTAGACCAGGCTGGCCTGGAATACTGGGATTACGGGATTAAAGGTGTGGTTGCCACAGTGACCAACCCGTGACCTTGAAAGCAGTGGGGTTCCAGGTGAGGTGACCTGAGCTGGCCTTCTCTCAGGACTGGTAAATCTTATTACCTTTCAGACTTAGTTCTTTTTAAAAATTTGTTACGATGTTTGTTTAATTTGTATTGGCTGGGTGTGGAAGTCAGCTCACAAGCTGCAGGAGCCAGTTCTTTCCCTTCTAGAGACTGAACCCAGATTATTCAGGGTTGGTGGCAGGCGCTGTAGCCCTTGACCAAGCCCTTGCTCAGCTTGCTCAGCCTCAGTCCCTGCAGTGGACCATGGACGCCTCTGTTGAGAGATCCAGCAAGACCCGGCCTGGAAAGGAGATGTGACATGGGACATTCCAGCTCTGTCCTGGGGGTGACTGCCTCGGTTGTCTCAGACACCTCTTTATCCCTAGACTTGTCCCAGGGGGAGGAATTCATTTCCTACTCAGACCGGAGGAGCGGGGAGAGCCAGATCCCGCTGCCTCAGCCTTTTCTCAGCCTTCAGGAGTCAATTAGCCCTTTCAGCCCCTACTGCCTGCCGTACCACCTGAGCTGCTGAAATGCAGGCTGTGGCAGCCAGGAGGCCTGATGAACAGAGCCGTGTCCAGCTCCTGCTGCCCTGAAGTGTGGCACGGGAAGAAAGCGGGGAGTGGGACACCCTTCTTTCTGCATAGCCCCTAAGCCGCTTTCATTTTTCTCTGGGCCTTCAACCCCAGCAGCAGCCCTAGGAGCTGCCCTTCCTGCCTCTGGGAATTCCCAGACTTCCCCAGTGTTCTTGGTTCCCGTGGTTTCTAATGTTCTCTTCTGTGTGATGTGGTACAAACTAGCACAGTATCCAAAAGGGCGTGGGTGCGGGTGGGGGCCACACCTCCTCCAGTCTCGCCTAGGTCTTTTCAGTAAACCTTCAGTTGAGCCCCCATCCGTCTGTATGAGCCACCATCCACACTTCTGCACTAGCCTTCTCACCATCAGATTGACTGGGCTTCAGGGTTGGAAAGGCAGAGAGAGACAAGACAGTCCTGGGCGCCATCCCTTGCCTAGTACTATGGGATCCTCATGGGTGACTTCCCCCAACTGTTTACTCAAGTCTGAAAAGGGAATTTCACCTCTGCCATGGATTGGAGGTGAGCTGTGGGAGGGATAGTGCCCTGCTGAGGTCTGTTCCCTTCTGTTAGGGAAGCCAGCAATGCCTAGCAGCCTTAGCTAGCACCCAGTGTGGGCACTGCCCTACTTCAGCCCTAGTTGCCAGGGAACCACTGGGTCCCTTGCTAACCTGGATCCCTCTATTGATGTTGCCTTTGTGCTGCCTGGTGTAGTCACTGCTGAGGAAGGCTTGGGTCCTGCTTTGTTTCCTGGCAACCCTGGCCTCGAGAGGCAGCAGAGAAGCCACAGGCGGGGAAACAGAATCTACCTTCTTCCCTGTCCTACCCCAGGACCGGCGCTGGTCCCACCTCCTCCCGTGGTGCTCTTACTTGGCTGGCAGCTACCTCTGCTCTGTGCTTCAGGGTTCCCACAGGCCCTGGGAAAAGTGCAAACTCAGCCTGACCTGGGCACTGCGTACCAGTCTTCCCCTCTCCTATACCCCAATCCTAGAGTGGCCTGCTGGGTATTTCCTATGTATTTGATCCCTTCCTAATCATTGATCATAACTACAGAAGAGAATTTCCCATGCTTCACACTTGCTGGTCAGACATGTGTGTGCCCTTCCTTTTTTAAAATTTACAAATGGGGAAAGTGAGGCATGATCTTATTCTGTGCCAATCCTGTGCTGAGAACTAAACGTGAATTTTCTCATTTCACCTTCACATGAGCTGTCTGCAAGGGACCCCACAGCTCCCCAGCCAGTGCAGGGCAGAGGAGGGCAAGCTTGTGCTCAGTGATGTTTCCCAGGTCACCAGAGGGCTTCAGGTGCACGTTAAGACCGGCCCGCCTCTGGGCTTCTCTCTCTGGCATAGCTGGGTAGTCTTTGGGAGATATCTCTCCTACTTCTCATCCCCAGTACAGCCCACACCCAGCATAGCACTGGGCACAGAGGATAGCTTGTGGTAAGAAAGGGGGCTGGGCAAATGGCACCATTGCTGAGGGGAGGGGTGGTTGGGGCCTTCAGGAGGAAGTGACTTTGAACTGCTTTCTGGAGGAAGAGTAGGTGTTGGCCAAAAGTGATGGGAGGGGTTTCTGAAGCATCAAGTCGCTGAGAGAGAATCCAAAGGTGGCTGGTGTGTGTGCGTGTGCGTGTGTGTGTGCATGTTTGTGTAAGGAGGTTTTCAGGGGTATGTGGGGGACACCATTCTGAGGTGGGGGAGCTGACTCAGGGCACGCCCACATCTGTCAGGACACCTAGGCTGCAGGTAAGGTTGATGTAGAGGTCAGAAGAGGTGGACCGAGGCCTTGGAAACACTCCGGGAGTGTTCTGGGGGGACTTGGCAGGGGTTAGGGGTAAACCCACAGATTCTAGGAAAGAGGAAGTCGCCTGAGGCTTGGGCGGGCAATACAGCTTCCTCTTTCTCTGGGGCTGCTCCTCCCTGGGGCAGCTGCTCCTGGCAGTTTCTGCAGTTTGGCTTGTATTCGGGGAATTTCTAGTCTGATTGTTTGGGCCTCAGCCACCCTGAGGCTCCAGTTCCACGCCTGGGTTGGGTGCTGGGCTTTGCGGTGAATAAAACAGACAACCTTGAGCTGACTGCTGTCTGGTTGGGGGACAAGCAGTGAACAAGGCAGCCAACAAATACTTAATCACCACCCTGGAAGTGTGGGGAGGAAGTCCCGTGACCCACTTGAGGCCCATTACCTGGGCTGTGCTTTTGACAGACTCCTGCCACAGAAGATAAACAGCCTGCCCTGCAGTTGTACAAGGAAGCCAAGGCTAGGGAAGCTGGGGGCTCAGGTAGATGAAGAGTGGGCTGTGAGCTAACTTCCTTCTCCACTAGAACCTGCCCCCCGAACTGTGTGTGACTAGGCTAACTCTCCTCCTTCTGGTACCTGGAGCTGGAAGAGCTTTCTGGGCTTTACCCTCCACCTTTGGGCTGCAGTGTGCCCATTTCTCTCAGCTCAGGTAGCCTTCAGGAGGTGTTAGGCTTTGGAGGTATCCCTGACTGTCTGGCGTTCTAGACAAGGGAAGTATGGGGGCCTTCACTGACCCCCCTCTGACCTAGGGTCTTCTCCAACCTTGCTTTCTCATGGGTTTCTAGAGTAGTAGATGCTGGAGGACGGGGGGTGGAGATGCAGCAGCAGGCAGGCACATGTGTGCATGTGCCTGAGCAGGCAGATGGGCAGGTTGAGAGTGGGGCCATGCAGCCAGACTGGGGTAATTGGAAGGTGCATAATTAGAAGGCAAGGGATGCTGGGCGGCGGCTGTGGTAGGGAAGCCTGAGTGGGCCCACTCCGGCTCTGAGGACAGGACAGTCTCAGATCACCCGGAAGGGGCTGCTGGGGTCCAGGTGGTCCTGGGCCTCATCTGGGCTTTGAGTTTTTTTCTCTTGCGTTTCTCCCCTCGTCCTCGTTCTGTGGGCTTTTGGGGCTGGGACCGTGCTTTGGTGACAACCTGGAGACTTGGGATTTGTGGTCAAGTCTGTAATGATGAGATCTTCCTCATCATGACTGCAGAGAGGCCATGGAATATGGTCTGGAGGGGACACTGTGGTGCAGAACCTGGTAGGCAGTTTTGTGACTGAATTTGAGAAGGGACGCGTGAAGGAATGAGTCAGGAGTGCCATCTGTTGAGTGTTGACTGCCTCGTGTGGCCTTTACCTACTCTGGAGCCGTCCTTCCCTGTCCCTGGTCTTCCCCTTAATTGGCCTGGAGCCTGCTGCCAGTGACCTGGAGAGTCCCTGGGTGCTGTGACGCTAGCTCCTCCCCCTCCCCTGGGTGTAACTTTAATCCCTGACCCTACTGTGGTATTCATGGGGCCAGGCCCAGGTCAGATGGCGGATCGGTTTCCTCTGCTCCACTCTTGTTTCCAGCCAGGAAGCCTGGCTACCAGCAGAGAGGGGGCTCTGTGATTGAAACCTTCTGTGAGCAACATGTAGCCTGTGGCCCCTTGTCCAGTGGGTTGGGGGAGGGCTAGGTCTGTGAGCACCCCACCCCACCTGTGACCCTGACTGTGGGAAATACCCATGAACTTTCTGTTGTCTGTTGGGAATCCAGTCTGTTTGCCATAGTGTCCTCTGAGACGGAGCTCCCTGTGGACACTGGTGATCCTAATTCCCTAGTGCAGAAGCATGTCTGTTCTCCAGCAGGCTGAATGCCAGACGGTAACCCTCCCTCCCAGTTCTGCCATGATACCTGGGCAGGCAGAGATGCCAGCACCTAAGCCCAGGCTTCCCTGGGGAAGGTGTAGAGGAGGACCAGGCCTATGACAGAGTTAAACCTGTGAGAATTAAGGCAGAGTGTGAGAGGCTGGGGATAAGAGCAGGGCTAGAGGTGCTGCATTCATCTTAAACACCCAGCCCAGGCCTTCCTCAGCTTCCTTCCTCTCCTCTTGCCCCCCTCTGATGCTTCAGGGCACCTGGCTGTTTATGGAAGGGGAAGGAAGCACTTCCTGCTTTGAGAAACCTCCTGAGCTATAGAACCCTCAGCTTCCCTCCCGCCTCAGACAGGCCTAGAAGGCTGGCCCTAGCCAGGTCAGTCCTACCTCTGCTCAGACCTGCATCCTGCCATGTAGGGCAAGTGCTTGCCCAGCACCCAACAGCAGTCTTGTCATCCTGAACGTGGCTTGTGGGGAGACAATCAAGACATTCCTGCCTGCCCTGGCCACTCCTCCGAGCTTCCTTTATCTGCCCTAGGTCAATGTCACTCCAGGGCCTGACGATGAAGTGGACCTTGCTGGGCTGGCCCCTGTCTTGCCTCTTTGTGGTGAGTTGGAGAAGGGCCCCAGAGAAGCTAGACTAGCTGGTGTCTGAGCGTGCACCACAGTGCTCCAGGAGAGGGTCAGGCACTGCTCAGGAGTCTCAGGCTCTGGCGGACTTAAACTCAGTGTTTCTTGGAAGACCAAATGAAGTGTCTACTAGCACTCCCTGGCATGCAGTTGTGACCCTGTAGACACAGGCTGTCCAGAAGAGACAGGCAAGCCAGGGATTCAGCTTTCCCAAGCAATTCCCACATGGGCCAGAGGGATTTCCTAGCATTTGCAGGCAACTGAAAGCAAGGTACTTGCCTCAGGCAGGTGTGGGGCAAAGCTAGGAGGGCAGGAGGGGACCTGGAAGACTTTGAGTACCTCCTGCTGGATGTAGGGTCTGTCTTAGTTTAGGGAAGCTCGGATTCTGCGGCTGGAGTCAGAGCACCTTGGGGTCTGTGTGGTCTTTCTATTGTGGCCGTGGAAGCTCAGGGATGGCAGACTGAGGTCTCCAGGAGAGAGCCTCCAGCCTTAGCAGGTGCTGGCGGCCAGGCCTGACCTTCTGCCTTTAGGGTAGCTCCGTTCTGGTGCCCTCTACCCTAGCAGCTGGGGCCAAGTCGGAGAACAGGGTCTTCCCATACCAGGAGTTGCGCAGGTAGTCCGGCGTTCACTTGAGTGGGAAGCAAAGGGAGGCCACCAGAGAGGGGGCTGGTGACCCACATCTAGAAGAGCATTCCTCTGGGACGTGGCATGCCCTGTTTAAGTGCAGGGCATGAATGGGGTGGCTGTGGCACAGGGGGAGGTCACAGAGGAGAATGTGGTCTCAGACTCAGCCCAGGGCCCAGAATAGTAAGTAAGCACCAGCTGCAGCCTTGGCTGCAGGCACGATAAACAGAGGGTAGTTAATGACATGCCCAGCTTGGGGGTGCGGCGGGGGAGGCATGCAGCAGGAAGGGAGACAATCTCAGAAGAATTCGGAAGCACTTCCTGCTCATCTGTCTGGGGTGAGGAGTGTAACTCATCTGAGAGAGCTATAATTCAGATATGCTCAAGAGCTTCAGGTCCTGATCCTGTCTGGGGCTTCCCAGTATTTTCCAGAACAGATATAATTCTTTCTTTACCTAGACACTGGTAGTGCAGCGGAATGGCAGACGCAGGCTCTTAGAGTGTGCCTGAAGCCTGGGAGGGAGCCCATGTGGTCTGCGATTCACTCAGGAAGTAGGTAGTGAGCAGATGACCCTGAAGGCCTCATGCCTATCACTTTCTTCCTCTGTGGCCACTTCTGTGTTCCACCTGCATTCTTCCAGCTGCTGCCCTGGCCTCTGGCCACTCCAACATCATTAACTCCTTGGCTGTGTCCACCTGGCAAGGAACCTGATCTGGTGAGCGATACACTGTCCTATCCCGGGAAGACTCTTGAGGGCAGAGGGAGGCCTGAACTTCCATGCCCAGGGCCTCAGGCCTAACTCCTGGCCTTGTAATCTTTTTCCTCTCCACAGGACCCAGGGCAGGGCACATTATGCCGAACCTGCCCCCCAGGCACCTTCTCAGTCTTATGGGACTCCCGTCCATGCCAGCCTCATTACCGCTGCAGCCTTCGAAGGAGGTTGGAGGCCCAGGCTGGCACATCAACTCATGATACAGTGTGTGGAGACTGCCAGCCTGGGTAAGCACAGGGTGAGGGTGGGGCTCATGCTGGGCTCTTGGCCCACTGCTCCCTGATGGGCCTCACTTCCGTCTATGACATGGATTGGTGGCACCATTGAGGGCACTTTGTAGGAAGGAATTCAGTTTTTCCTAAGGACATGGTTTAACTTCTGGAGCTCAGTGCCATCTTTCCTCCCTGCAGATGGTTTGGGTCTCGGGGAGTCCCTCATGTTCCATGTCAGCCATGCTCCAAGGCACCTCCAAATACTGGTGGCTGTGACGGTGAGTAACAGATGGTGCGGTAGGAAAGGGGGCAGCGAATTTGAGCCCAAGAGTCCATGCAGCATCCATGTGGGGACAATAGGGTCCTTCTTCAGACCATAGGCGATCAGGCAGTCAGAAGGTGTCTAGATGGTCAGCCACCTTGCTCATGAGTGATTGAGAGCATCCAGCGTCTGGTAGCTACCATGAGGATTGGGGATTCGTCTCCTTTTTGGTCCCATTATCCCTGTCCTCTCCAAAAGAGCCCTACGGATGTGTGTGAGCATGCACCTGTGCCTTTGTAGTTACCTGTGACCCATGGCTTCTTACCAGAGCCAAAACCTCTTGAGGCTACTAACTCATGTGAGTAGGATTCCTGTGTCCCTTTGTCTAGGAGCGTGCCATATGTGTCTGTCTGTGTGAGGGGCAGTTAAAGGTTGAGGCCCAAAGGAGCCTCATTGGCTAGTCAAGGAGGAAAGACATCAGCTGACTTTTGTCTCCCGAGTGTGGCGGGGTGGGTTGTCTTGGGATATTAGTTTTCCTCCAGCTTTGTGCTCAGGTCCTTGGACTTAATTGTCATCACTCCTGCTCCCGGCCTCCTACCCCGACCTACCCAGGGCTCCCAAGGCTAGGCCAAGGCAGGACAGCAGGTCAGGCAGAGAACCTTTCTGAGGCTGAGGAGGGACAGTACCAGCCTTGCAACTTCTTTGTATGTTTTTCTCTGCTGCCTTGCTTCCATCCTCTGTGGCATTCAGAATCAGGGCGACGGACCCGGCGTGGTGTGGAAGTGGCAGCAGGTACCGGTAGCAACAGTGAGCCTCGGCAGTCTGGGAACGGCACTCGGGCAGGCGGCCCTGAGGAGACAGCTACCCAGTATGCCGTGATCGCCATCGTACCTGTCTTTTGCCTCATGGGGCTTCTGGGGATTCTGGTGTGCAACCTGCTCAAGCGGAAGGGCTACCACTGCACGGCCCACAAGGAAGTTGGGCCCAGCCCTGGAGGAGGAGGCAGTGGTAAGACCTGACTAGGTCCAGGTGGGGGGCTAGGGATTTTGGAAGGGACCTTCCTGGTCTATAGGTGTGACAGGAGAGGCCTGCAGAGGGCTAATCGGGAAGGCCTCCTGGAGGTGCTGTGCGGCACCCTTGATGGCAACAGGCAGAAGTAAAGTCTTAAGCTGATCAAGTTGGTAAGATTTCTACCTGGGTGAGGCCCTGCTCCACAAGGTTGGGACTTGGCAGGGGCAGCAGGCTCCAGTTGTCTAATTCAAAGTGGCCTCTGGCCTATGGTCTGGAGCAGGAGAATGCCCTGCATCAGGAGGGCTGGCAGGCCACTTTTTTGGCAGGCACTATGCAGGTTCAGGTTTCAGCTCTGCTGTGGTTTGAGATACAAGTACTGGAACCAGAGATAGAAGGCCTTGGGCCCATTGCTTCTTTTGCTGACCAATGTCTCCTGAAGGGTAGAGACCTTCTGGGCAAATGCACTTCTCTGGGCTGTCAGGAGCCTTCTGGCCAAGTCAGCAGAGACACAACCTCTCCCATGCCAGCTTTCAGAGCCCCTCCAACTCCTAACCCTAAATTATTGAGGGAGGGTACAAGTCAGGGCCGATTTAAACTTATGTTTGGATATTTTTTTTTAATTTTATGTATGTGTATTTTGCCTGCATAATGTATGTATGTATGTATGCAGCAGGTGTGTATCTGGTGCTCAGGGAGGCCAGAAGACAGTTTACGATCCCCTGGAACTAGAGCCAGACAGTTTTAAGCCACTATGTGAGTACTGAGAACAGGATTCTGCTCCTCTGTGAGAATAAGTACTGTTGAGCTTCAGCTCAAAGTCAGGGCTCTTTTATGTAGGACTGTCCTTTTCTGCTAGCCTAGTGACTTTAAGTGTTGACTGCGGCCGGAGTCCATTCTCACACCCTTAAGGGTTAAGCCCAGAGCTGTTAAGTAGTTCTCTGGAGAAGGTGGAGTGCAGAGAGGTCATGGGCCTGGGAAGGTGGTGGGAGTTCTGAGCAAGGAGAGCCAAGAAAGGAGCAGTGCCCACCCAGAAGAGGCTGGTGCAGTCTGCAGGGATAGAGTTGAGTCTAGGTGATGGGCCTGTGGGTCCTATCACCTGAACACCACAGTAGATTCTGCTGAACCTCTGAGCAAGGACTATGATGTCCTCTGCCAGCAGATCCTGGTGCAGCTTGGGAGCCCTGAATCCCTTCTTTCCTAGAATCATGGATTCCTTTTCTTTTCTCCAGGGATCAATCCCGCCTATAGGACAGAGGACGCCAACGAGGACACCATTGGAGTCCTGGTGCGCCTGATCACAGAGAAGAAAGGTGAAGAGAGGGTCTTTATGTTTTACCCAATGCCTAGGAGTGGGGTGGGGGGGTCTCCTTCTGGAGCCTTAGAGGATGTTTGGGAAAAGTCCTGCCTAGCTCTGCCTCCCCAGATCAAAGCCTCAGCCTGACTGGTACTCCAACCCTGGATGCTGAGTGATTTTTGACTCTTATCTTGACTGGTGAGGGATGGAGGAAGGGCTCTGGGACAGGGATATGGGAGCAGGCAAGGGCTATCTGCCGAGCTGTGGGGCGCTCCTTCCTTCACTCTGGAGCTGGGTTCTGATTCCACCTGCCCATAGAGAACGCAGCAGCCCTGGAGGAGTTGTTGAAAGACTATCACAGCAAACAGCTGGTCCAGACAAGCCACAGGCCTGTACCTAGGTGAGTGGTGGGACCCTCAGATAATCAGCTTGCCTCCTGGGGATCCCTGCCTGACTCTACTTGATGGCTTGCCACAGTGACCATTTCTGCTCCTCCTCCTGCAGGCTGCTGCCAGCCTCCTCCAGCATGCCGCACATCTGTCCACATCGCCACCACCTCCACACTGTGCAGGGCCTGGCCTCACTCTCTGGCTCCTGCTGCTCCCGTTGTAGCCAGAAGAAGTGGCCAGAGGTGCTGCTGTCTCCTGAGGCAGCGGCTGCCATCACTCCTGCTCCCACCCTCCTGTCCAACCCATCCAGGGCTCCCAAAGCTAGTGCCAAGACAGGACGTCAGGGTGAGATCACCATCTTGTCTGTGGGCAGGTAAGGTGGGCACAGACATAGCAGGGTCAGGGACTAACTTGACAGTCTGGAGATAAGCAGGTCCTCGGGTCAGCTTAGTACCGACTAGCCTTTCCTGGGCCTTTCTGGGTAGTACGAGTGGCCAAAAGAGTCATTTCCCAGCTGTGCTGCCTGACATGGAGCTCTTGTCCCAGAGGCATGGTCTTGGTGTTACTTCTTAGGCCAAAGGTCTGTCCACCTCTAACTAGATGTGGGGCTGCCGGGAGCTGGGCACAAACAGCCTAGTCTCTGGGGGTCTAGGAAGGGCTCTTGGACAGTGTAACAGGCTCAAGCTGTGACCTGGTAGGTGCCTTCTCTGTCCTAGGCTCTCTCTCTGATATGGGCTGTTGGTGCCACCTCTCCCTGCAGGTTCCGTGTGGCTCGCATTCCTGAGCAGCGAACCAGTTTGTTGTCATCTGAAGTGAAGACTATCATGGAGGCTGGGCCTTTAGGGGGTGATCTTCCTGACTCCCCACAGCCCAGTCTTCCCCCTGAGCAGCGGGCACTGCTGGGAAGTGGTGGGAGCCATACTAAATGGTTGAAGCCTCCAGTAGAAAACAAGGCAGAGGTAAGAGCTGGGGGGAAGTTTTCTGTTAGCACCTGGGTCAACCCTGACAGAACAAAGGCCCAGGGAGGCAGTATGGGTAGCTCTGGGTAGATACCACTTTTCTGAAGCCCAAATGACTGTCTGACTTAGCTCTGACCCCTCAATCCTGATCCCCAGGAGAACCGCTATGTGGTTCGGCTAAGTGAAAGCAGTTTGGTCATCTGATGGGCTGTCTGGAGTTAGATGTTCTGCCCTGCTCTGGGAGGTTCTGAAGGCTTTCTGCAGGAGAGAGAGCTGCAGCTGGGACCGAGGACCAAGATGCAAAGGCCTAGCAAACAAAACAGCAAAGACCAAGGCCTGGAGGTGGGTCTGCCCCACTGAGGAGGCAGCTCTCCACGCAGCAAGTGAGCAGGAGATCAAGAGCCCAACCCATTCCTGCAGCCCTAGTCAATTCCCTGCAGGGTGCCCTAACCTGTGCCTGTCCTGAACACATCATAGGAGCCCTCTGTCTTCTAGGAGTCTGGTTTGGCAGAGGAGTGGTGTCTGTACCTGGTCCCCAGCTTGTGCCTTGGGAACTAGTCACTCTTGCCATGTCCTGGATCCTGGACATGCCTCCCTCTCTTCTGGCAGGCCCTGTAATGGGAAGGAGTAGCAAAGGGCCCTGTATTGGTGGCAGAGTACCTAGGTTCCAGCTTTTCTAACTGTGAAGTGAAGGAAGGAGAGCTCAGTTCTGTCGGGGGAGCTTGACCTTGCTACCCTCCTATTAGTAGCTTTCTCTGGCCTGTTTCTGCTGCTTCCTGGACCTTCCCTTCAAGGCTCCCATTGGACTATTATGGCAATGCCTACAGAAGGGGCTTACTGCATGTGCCTGCCCCTACCCTGCTACTTTTAAAGAAACTGAAAAATTACCTGACTTGCATAGGCTCTGGTGCAGAGCCTCAGGCCACCCTGCTGCCTTCGAACTCTGAAGCTGCCGGGAGAGGAAGATGGCCGCCTAGAAAGTGCCTCTGGTCTGTGGTTTCCATGCTCCTGTGGTAGTGTCTGCCTGAGTTTTTGGTAGCAGGGTAACTGCCAATCCAGCCTTAGTCTCTGCTCTGACTCAGGGCCTGGTTATTTATGTGGGGCCGCGCAGGCGCGGGGCCCACTGTCCATCCCATCCCATCTCTTATTTATTGAAACCTGCTGCTGCCCTGTCCCTACATCTCCAACCCCACACTTGAGTAATAAAAGGTGGAAAGTGGTGTCATGAGGCGCTTCCTTTCCCGGTTCCCACCTTGGAATCCTGTTTGCTCACCTCATGCTTCCAGGGGCCTGAGATAATGCCCTTCCCTTCCTCAGCACTGTCCTCTGAAGCCAGGGCAACGGGCAGAGGTGGCTTGTTTCATTCTCACCAAGGTCCCCAAAGGCCGGGCTTCCCAATAGAAATACAGACTGAGCCATGTGTGTGATTGAAAGTGTTCTAATAATCATTCCAAAAAGCTTTTTAAAAAGGTAAACTTAATTTTAATATTTTTAACCCAGTAAATCCAGAATGTTTTCATCGTAATATAAAATAACTATGAAAATCATGAACGAGCTTTTATTTTTCAGTTTAGAGTCTTCTGTATTTTACACATCTTGACATGAACTAAATATGTGTCGAGGGCACAAGAGCCATGTGGTGAGTGGCAACAGCTCTACAGGAAACAGTAGACATGTAGAAGCTCAGAGTGTGGGAGGGGATGTGTTCCACGAAGTGGGAAGCAGTGTGTGCAAAGTCCAAAGGTGGGAGGGACTAAGGGTTCTCCATGGCTGTTGGGACGACAAAGTCTTGGTCCTCTTGGTCATACAGGAGCACCGGAAGGAAGCAGGAGGCTGCTGGAGCTCTGGGGAGATAGATCTGGGTAAAAGGAATAGTTTACAAAGATTCAGGTGGGCATCTTTACAGCCAACTGGGCTGGAAGGGTCCATTTTTAGGAAAAGGTCTCAGGGCTGATCCTAGAGCCTGGTGATAAGAAAGCCATCAGAGTCCTGGTGGCCAATAAAGGGTATAGAGTTTGGGGAAAGTTGGCCAAGAGGCCAGAAAGTCTGTCATGTATCCTGGGGGGGGTGGAGAGCAGGGTGGACAGGGCCTTGGTAGTTTCCTTGGTGAGAGCTGAACCAATACCATGATAATCAAGGAACACCATGGTTGGTGGGGTTTTGTTAATGTGTGGTATACTGTTTAATACTGAAGAGAGCGCTGAACGGTGGTGGCACACCTTTAATCCCAGCACTCAGGAGGCAGAAGCAGGTGTGGGAGTTTGAGGCCAACCAGGTTTACAGAGTGAGTTCCATGACAGCCTAGGGGCTACACAGAGAAGCCTGTCTTGAAAAACAAAAACAAATGGAAGAGACAGGCAAAAACTACTGGCTGTCCCATGGAGGCAGAAGGACTAGAAATTGATAGAACTTGTGAGGTGTGGAAGGCTGACCTAAAGAAGGGGTCCAGGTGGCTATGCTGGACTTCAGAAAGCCTGACTTCACTGAGGACAGTTTTCTGGGCAGAAACCATGGTAGGTGTAGCAGTGCCAGGAATGGTGGTGGGGGAGAAGAAAAGCAACCTTTGACAGGATGGGCATGTTTTGAGTACCCACCTAACCCTGCTTCTCCAAACTATATCCTTTGGGTACATGGTCCTCTATGAAGTAGGTGTAGACAGTTTCCCTCAGTGTATTCAAGAAAATGGTCCCTATGGTTTCAGGGTGCCCTTGGCATCCATTTGCTGTATCTCAAGAGTTTGGTTTCTCAAGTTTGCCTGTCCCTTTAGTTAGCCAACTCATGCCCCCCACTTATCTATGATTTGGATAACACAGCCCACTTGGGTGGTGCATGAGGATAAGAGTGTTTCCTGGGGGTGAGACAGGAGGTGGGACCCCATCCATTCTCTGGGAAGGCTAGATTAGAGACACATTCAGATACTAATCAGGGTGGAAATATGTTCGGGCTTCCAGACTGGTAAGCATGCTCCTATGAGCAGTACTCTGCCCTGCTCCTGCTTGCTCAAAGCATTGTTTGTTTCCTCATTTGCTGCTTTTTGGTTTTTCAAGACAGGGTTTCTCTGTACAACAAACTGTCCCAGAACTCGCTCTGTAGACCAGGCTGACCTTGACCTCACAGAGGTCCACCTGCCTAGGATTAAAGGCATGCACTACGACCGACCGACCGGCTCCTTATTTCCTTCGCGTATCATACAATTTCCCAACATCAGACCAAAGTGGTGGGAGGTGATGCAGGCGTGTGACACTCTCCACAGCCCCACTTTCTCTTGGGAACTTTCCTACAAGTCCCAGCAGCCCTCTCCCTAGTAGAGGTGGGAACTGGAGGGAAGAGTAGGCATTGGGGTCCAACCTCCTACCTCTCTGTGTTCTCCCTTCACCAGTTCCACGATGGATCATGTACAAAATAGGATGGGAGTATATCAGGAGGCAGAGTGAAGCTTGGTGGGAGGTGTACCAATTTCCAGTTACCATTCTAAAACGGGCCAAGGTATGTCCACTGGTCCAGTAGGCCTATCCCTATCCCATGGGGGGTCTTACTGGTTCTTGCAGCATTGGATTGGAACTCAGGACTTACCCAAGTTAGACAAGTCCTGTCTCTGTGCTGCACCTCCATGGAAGGTCTTCAAACATTACTGAATCTTCTGCAATATAGAGGAAGCAGTGGCACACACCTGGCTTCCATCTTTTGGAGTGATCACTTTAGGCCAGTTTCTCTCTCTCTCTCTCTCTCTCTCTCTCTCTCTCTCTCTCTCACACACACACACACACACACACACACACACACACATACACACATCTTTCCTGGTAGTCTGTGGCACACTTTCTAAAAAAAATATTTCTTAATTATGTATACAATATTCTGTCTGTATGTCTGCAGACCAGAAGAGGGCACCAGACCTCATCACACATGGTTGTGAGCCACCATGTGGTTGCTGGGAATTGAACTCAGGACCTTTGGAAGAGCAGGCAATGCTCTTAACCGCTGAGCCATCTCTCCAGTCCTAGGCCAGTTTTTTCTACAACTGAACACGTTGAGCTGTGGAACATGGATTGTCAAGACCAGGCCCTGAGAAAGAAAGATGGCTGGATGGCTCAAGAACCCCTGTTGTGTTGTGAATGAGAACGGCCCCTAAGGCTCATTCATTTGAATGCTTGGTCCCCACTTGGTGCCATTGTTTGAGAAGGATTAGGAGGTATGGCCTTGTTGGAGGAAATGGTCACTGGGGGTGGGCTCTGAGGTTACAAAAGCCCATTCCATTCCTAGGTAGCTCCTGTCTCTCTCTGCCTGCCTCCTACTTTTGGATAAACTACTTACTGCTCCAGTTCCACACTCCCCACCATGATGGTTATCTTCTGTACGTTCCCTTGGTTATGGTGCCTTCACAATAGAGAAGTAGTTTAAGACAAAGCTTGAGCAGCATTAGCAGGGAGGGACAGAAGATTCAAATGTACAGCAGGGAAAAAAGAGTTCTTAATGACTGCTTGTATGAGGCCCTGTGGATTTTAATGGTCCCCCTTGGTGGTCTCACTGCTTGAGAGAAGGCTCTATCCACCTCATAGCTGGTTGGTGGGGCACATTTTTAATCCCAGGCAGATCTCTGAGTTTGAGGCCAGCCTGGTCTAGAGAGCGAGTTCCAGGACAGGTTCCAAGCTACACAGAGAAAATGTCTCAGAAAATATTAAAAAAGAGAGAGAGGAGAGAGAAAAGAAACCACCTCCACTGAGATGGGCAGAACATGGATTCTGAAACTAGACAAAGTATGAATTTCAGCTTTCCCTTAGTTAAGGCCCTTCTTTCCTCCACATGGGAAAATAGCAGAGCTTCTCTTGGCCGCAGAGCGTGAGGACCTCAGAGATCAACAAGCAGAAGCAAGGGGCAAGCAGCAGCCACAAGACACTCGACAAAGAGCGGGGTTTTGATTTTAGTTTTCCCCTTCCTCCAGCCTGATTACATGTCAGTTCTTTAGCAGCTTCTCCTGGTTTCTACCACATTGGCCCAGGTGCTAATGACACTCCACAGTGCCCATTCACTGCCTGACCCATAGTCCCAAGAAGACACAGCACAGAATCTCTCTCTCATGCATGTATGGAATTTTGTGTATGAATGCTTGCGTGTAAGTGCACCACGTGTGCCTGGTGCCCCAGAGACCAGAACACACAGGATCCTTTGGAATAGGAGCTGCAGATGGTTGTGAAGCACTGGCCCTCTGTGAGTAACAGTGTTCTAACCACTGAGCATCTTCCCAGGCTTAGAGACAAAGCCTTCATGTTGCACTCCTACCCTAGCCTCCAAAGCACTGAGGTTCCAGATGTATACAAGAACATCTTAAAGCAAAACAAACCCCAAAAAACTGAGAGTTGTCTGGGAGAGAAGTGCAGGGCTCACTAGCCCAAGGCTATCTGTGTGGCCTTCACCCAAGAACCACATGTTGGGGTTTTTTTTTTTTGGAAACATTTTTTAATAGTTGAGTGTTCTACAGCTTACAGTAAATATCATATAGTTACAAACTCTTGGCTTCAACCTTTCAGACTGATCACTATCTGATCTTCAAAACAAAGCAAAACTCAAAGGAATCCAAGTCAACAAAGCCAGATGTACACTTCACACACACAAGTGTGGTCACAGGGCTTTCCAGTTTTTACCTCCAGGCTCTGAACACGCCTATAAGTTATTTGATCAAGCTACTTGGAAGACACCGGTCAAAGGTTTATTATTATAATAATTATTATTTTTAATGTTTTTATTTTTAAAATGTGAGTTCCAATAAAATTTAAAAATTAGATTCCAACTTGTAGGTTAAAATGAATAAAAAATACAAAATCATACACAACGCTCTCTTCGCAGGGATGTTACATGCCATGAGAACAAGCTTCTCTGTCATGTGATATGAAAGGGATCAGATGCCTTCAAGACAGGAAGGGGACAGGCCCTGGGCCTTCAAAGATTAAAGACAACTTCAAGGTGCAGGAGGCCTAGTCTTGCCTCACCTTGTAAAGAGCATGGTTCACAAGACAGATCCAGTCGATCTGGCTGACCTGAGGTCTCTGGGCCAGTCCTACTCTTCAGTTTGATTTTTGTGCACGTGGAGGATGGCTGAGCTGGGGTCAAGGATAGAGGATGCTGGGTTTAGCCCAAAGCAGATTTCACTGGCTTGATTCCTGTGGGCTGCTATCTGTAAAGCTGCTTTATCTGTTCTCAGGCTGGAATGGATGAAGGGACACACTGCCACACCAGGGATACCTAAGGACTACTGACGTAGCAGCCACAGTGAAGCAGGTGCTGTTATGTCCCTCTTTGGCTCTGTGGCAACCAGTTTCAACTCCTGTGTTCTTGGCTGGCTTTCTGACTGGCATCAACAGTTTCTTAATTAAGAAATACCTGCTGGAGAAACTGAGGGAATGGGACCCAAGTCTGGCCCAGGCAAGTCTGGCCATGGAATGTTGGAGTTGGCCTGCTGGGAATGTCAAAGACTGAGTTCTGGAACCACATAATACCAAATTCATGAGTGCTTTTTCTAGGAGATGGAATAGGGTAGAAACCTGGCTAAGTTTCTTCATTGATTTGTTCCCCTTTGTCCATTCCGACCCTGGCTGCCCTTCTCTAGAGTCCCAAGTTTGACAAGTATGGGGGCCACATAATCAGCAGTGATGTGATTAACACAAGATGGAGAGGCAGAGCTCACTGAATGAGTCACACCTGGGATAATAATGATGGATCCAGCCAGAGCAGGGCAAGATATTTGATGTGCCTTGTTTGACCTGTCATGTCTGCACACTATGATGCCAGAATTGGTGACCATGAGACTTATCCTTTGATGCTCCCATGGCTCATTTCTGAAGGCTATTCAGGACAGAGCATCAAGCCTTCCAAAGAAACCTCTAGGTCTCAACCATGGAACCATCTAGATGGCCAGGAAATACTGGGTCATATGGAGCCTAGTTAGCCTTTCTAGGACCTGGTTCTCACTGGAGGAGCAAGCATGAGGACTCCAGTCGAATGTGTTTCAGAAGTTCACACTTATGCCACGTCCCCTTGAACTGCCTTGTTGGATCTGGATAGGAGTCAAGAGAGCCAACGTGCAGGCAAGACTCCTTGCTCAAAGATACTGTCCCCAATCATCTTTAGTACTGGGCAGTGTCACGTTTGGTGTTTTGAGTTAGGTCTTTTGTGGCAACTTCTCTGCTGGATTTACCTCTAGGTCCCCAGGGCCCATACAAGTCTCGGCCTAAAGAAGAAATTCTCAAAAATCTGCTCAGCTGAAAAATGGGAGCTCTCCCAAGTCTCCATAAACGCTTCCTCTGTGGGCACACATAGTCCTTTCCTTCTTCAAGCATGCTTACACTAGAGACCCAGCAGGAGGCAGCAGAGGAACAGAGGATCAAGTCTTGGCTCTTGTACTTATGAGCTATGTGTCCTCTGGCAAGTCTCTCATCCCTTCAGAGCATGATGACCCCCGCCTGTATCTTTAAAGTAGAGGTTTTGGCAATCAGTGTCAAAGTACTTTATGTACAAAAAGAGGTCTGGACAGATAGATTGTGTGTCCCTGATGAATATTCAGGGAAGAGGGGTATGCACGTCAGAGTCACTGTCAGGATATCAAGAAGGAAAAAGAATTTTATCTCATAGGAAGAACTTGTTGTTTCGAAAGCATGGCAAGAGACTTGCAGGCTTTTACTCACTGGGAGTAGTCCAATTCTCAGACCCAAACTTTCTGGCCCAGGGCCGATGAAGATGATCAAATGGCACCAAGGAAGGCTGGTGAACAGATCCACCTCTACCTCAGCTTTGTATTGGGGGAGGGAGGGGTGTCAACAAGGTGCGTGCGTGCGTGCATGCGTGCGTGCGTGTGTGTGTGTGTGTGTGTGTGGTGATGCCAGTGTGCCTTGTCCTATGATAAGGGGCCCTTTACAGCTTTGGCCTCATCTACCTTGACCACTGGGGCCATCCAGAATCCTCAAATGATACCTAGGGCACCCTTGCTAGAGCTGTGTTCACCTAACCCAAGGTACACACACACTGCGTTCTGGGGTTCAGTCTGTTTGCCATGGTTCCCTCCTCAAGCTTGGCCAGGCTTGTTGATCTCTGTCAAACAAAAGTGAGAGGCCAGCTGAACTGGGGCTCTTGTGCTCTTACTGAGAAAGGTTAATTGGTCTGGTTTCTCTATACTACAGCATGTCAACACTTGATTTTCACCTTGGGGTCTTTCTGATCCTGAATCCACAGACTAGGTCTAATATGAGGTACAGAGCATAGATGCTTCAGAACATGAGCCCATGTGTGGATCAGGCTTGGAGAGACTACAGCCAGCAGGGGATTCCTTACCAGAAAGTCACACATGGGACTTTTCTGAGTCTTGGATTCTCTATGAATTAAACAGCAGGCATCATGCCTTCATCTCAGGGACAAACCCCATGAACTGTGAGGGTCACAGTGTTTACTTACTGATGTGTAAAGAACAAATATTAAGAGGCCATTCCTAGGTCTCTCTCTTTTTTTCTTCTACCAGGTCATCTGAAGGCCACTGGGTCTAGGAAACCTGCCAGGATTCCAGCGTACAGTTCACTTCTAGAACTGTTTTCACATTTGTCAAGTAGGTGGGAGAGCTGACCCTGCTGCTTGCCCTTGGCCAGGGCATCAGTCGTAAAATGCTTTAACATCTGTGAAGCGCCTGACACATGTATTCTATAATCATTACCACCATTATTATTCTGGCATTTTTCAAACATTTAAGACATAATCTATAGCAACCTTCATCCACCTCTACAAAACCAATGAAGGTAGAAGGAGGCATTGTAAAAAGCGGACCAACAATGGAAAACTTTGTCTTAAAAGAAAACCTTGTCAGTACCCAGAACAGCCGTGTCTTCTCCTGGTCCTGAAGCTCCCAGAAGGCCGGGCAGGCAGAAGCCCTAACTTCTGGCTCTCTGCCATGGATGCTGATGGACTCCGAATTCCTGGAAACAGTCAGACTGTTTCTGAGCTCGTTCTAGCTCAAGGGCTTCCATTTTTTTGTTTCCTTCAGGGAACACGGGAAATAGGAGGAAGGTGATGTTCAAGTTCACATCAATTTGAAATGAAATAGTTTGAGTCTCAGGTGTTACCAGTGAACCAATTTTACACAACAAGATACTCCTATTCCACCCAGTGAGGCTATTGGCTTGGCTAGTTGGGCACAGGAAAGTGGCTGGCCAATCCATTTCCTGGCTAAGACTAGGAAGGGCTTCCTTGTCTCAGGGGTCCCTCTTCTTCTCCCAGATGTGGTTGTATCTGCTTGGTCTTCCGTTTTTGGTGGTTCCCATTCTTCTCTTCTTGGGATAAAGGACTACTCTCCTAAGTGCATAGCCCCTTCCGGCCAGCCCACTTGCTTTTTTTCCTAGAGGTGGAGTCAGGTGCAGGATAAACATTCCAGATGTCGTCACAGGCTTTCCAAATGCAGTTTCTCTTCCTGCCCTTTGCCCTTTGTGGCCTCTGCCTAGTCTTCAATCCCTCACCTTTAGAGTGCATGAGGGAAAATAGCAGGAAGAAGCCCAGAGGCCAGAGCTCACCAGATGTGGACACTGCTGACTTAATTTTTACAAAGCCAAGCCAATCCATCCCTTGCTAAATTTTTGTAGGCAAAATGCCAGTAAGTAGGAAGGCTGCATTTAATGCTAATTTACTATAAGGTTCAGAGAAGTCCTTCTGCTTCTCTGGGCCTCAGTTTCTTCATCTGTCAAATAGGGGAATGGACGAGATGATGAATGCTAAGGTTCCTTCAGTTCCATGAGTATGAAATGATTATTGCTATTGTTTTCCTTCACTAACCTGACCTTCAGAACTGCCAGCTCCCTCCTGGAATGTGGTTCCTTCACTTTGGCCGTGAAGTGGCAGAAGGTAACCAAGAGCTTGGCCTGCATGCCGGCCCCATGAACAGACATGTGCACCCCGGCACTGGGAAGGGCAGAAGGGCAAGGGAGAGAAATGCCACTCTCTGAGGAGAAAGCCCCTTGAGTGGGTCCATGAGGTTCAGGCTGAAGGTGGGATTATGCAGGCACCTGGCTTTCTGAAGCCTCTGGATGCTGGGATCCCACCACCATGCAAGTGTTTGGCAGGTCTGAGGTCATAGCATCTCTGGAGGAAGTGCCAGGTCAGCTAACATCACTGTGCAAATCAGAAGGTCCAGGCCAGCAATATGGCCAGAGACCTTTCAAACCAGAGCTGAGCACCCTCTCGCCCCTTTTCCACACTACTTCCCCAGTGTCCTCCCTCCCTTCACCCTTCCCCAAATTCTCTGCTTTCCCAGGTTCTGGGCCTGGGGACGTGAAGCTGCTGACAACATTCCTACATAACCAGGTGGGCTTGTTCTTGGTCTTTTGCAATGGCTCTTAGAAGATATTTCTTTGTATTTGAAGTAATCTTGCTTCAGCAAAATGACGATCTGACAGAGATGTGGCCTTCTCAACAGCTCCAAGTTCCTACCCCAGACCTGAAGGCCACATCTATTATGTTCTCCAAATGAAATATAGCCTTTAGATGAGCCATTGCAATAAACCTCACTCTCTGCCTGCTACTAGACGGATTGCAGGGACAGGATGCTCAGGGAAGGAAAGAAGTGCAGAGAGGACTGGGCCTGGTCAGGTAGGAAGAGGGATAGAGTCGGGAGGGCAGTGGCTAAGAGGGAGGCACGAGGGGGAGGCGCGAAGGGGAGGCTCCTAGATTAGAAAAAGCAGCTTTTACAAAAACCAAAAATAAAAATAAAAATCATTAAAGATGCATAAAGTGACCCTTGCACTTCCGTTGTCTCTTCTTGCAAATAGAGGTGGTGCTGCTAGGGGACTGCTCCAGCACCGGTGTAAGACTTGAGTAGTTGCATACAATGTGACTCCAGGTCTGGGGGAGGAAGGAACACTGTTAGAGAGAGTGAGGCGCCACAGGGCCCCTTCCCTAAGCCCTCCATGCCTCCCAGAGCTGCTGACGACAGTGAGGAAGCTGGGGTCTAACATCAAAGCTGGTATATGATTTAGACCAGACTTCATTTGAAGAACCGAGTCTCTAGTTAAAGACATCTGAAGACCACAAAGAGCACAGAATTCAATAACAGAGGACAAAGCCGCTGCTCAGTCTAATTGGCTGAGTGATTTTGAACTGTGTATCTAAAAAACAGAGTTAAAGACCCATGAGTTAAAAACTACGAGGGCTGTAACATTTGTAAAGTAATAGCTGATATTAAGAGTGACATTAAAGAACCCGGAACAGGTAACAAGTGGTGACTGTTGCCTGCTTCTGTAACGCCTGTGCTCCAGATTCAAGCCAGGACTTTGAGAGAGTTCCTGCATGTGTCCCTTCCCTTCTCCCCATCCCTGGCCCTACTTACTTGGACAGGTTGCAGGCTTTACCAGTGCGGGGGCACATAGCTGTATGCAGGGGTTCCTTGGGCCCTGTACGTGGGCATGGAGACAGGGTGTGCCCCAATTGCAGTGTGCTGGGGTGTGGTCAGCAGGGTACCTGGGCATAGAGAGAGGAGGAAACCTGAGTAAGCTCTAACCCATAACCTGGGTACAGGATGGAGAGGAGGAAAAGGCTTTTACATGGCTGTTCTTCCTGTCCATGCCCCCACCACCCTGGACTGCCTGGTGAGCACTGTCCTTCTCCACCTTGCCAGGCTTCCACTCCTTAGGGTGAGGAGTCTTTTGGGATGCTGGAAGACAGAATTACTCTTAGGAAATCCCTCTTTCATTTGCATGCTTCTCTTACTGCATACACGTGTGGAAACCATTATCTTTCCTGGTTCTGTCTTCTACATATACTCACCTGGATTATCTTTCCTGGTTCTGTCTTCTACATATGCTCACCTGGATTATCTTTCCTGGTTCTCTCTTTTACATGTGCTCACCTGGATTACCTTTCCTGGTTCTGTCTTCTACATATGCTCACCTGGATTATCTTTCCTGGTTCTCTCTTCTACATGTGCTCACCTAGGTATTTAAGGGCAAGGCTCTTCCTTAGGGATCTTTCCTTCCCAGGACCTTAATCAGGCTGGCACTGAGCAAATAACTAGCAGCTTCCTGTGTACTGAGCAACCATGTGGTCACATCTCGGATCTTTACGCCCTACATGGCAGTGCCAATTATTTCTAAGGCTACACTTCCCACCTTTATCCCCTGTGCTCCTTAAGGGCAGACTCCTGTCTCTCCACCTGGGCCCCCTGCTGTCACTGGAGGCCTACTGTTAACATCTCTCCCAATCCAGCCCACAGTCAGTTCAAACCCTACCCTATTTCTCCCCTACTGCAGCTGTTAGCTCCCTCACCCGAAAGCATTCAAGCCTCTCGACAATCATGTCCTCACCAGCCGTGCCAGCCACCCTTCCTCTCTCCCGTCCCCTCCCCATTTCTTACACGCCTTAAACCTTTTCTATCCTATGAATACACCACACTTTGATCCTTCTGCGTCTACTTCCCTTCCCACTTTCATTTCTCTGCTTGGCCTCCATTCACCCATTATTCAAGGCCTTGCTCAATATACCCATCTTGTGTGCCATCTTCCTTATCCCTTCAAATAATTTAGACTTTAAATTATACTCTAAATTTCTAAATTTTAGAGCATCTTCTCTTTGGCTTCCTGGAAAACCCTCTAGCCTGGCACATAATTTCCCATGCTGGGCTGCAGCCAATTCCATGACTGTTCTCCAGTGTGAGGAATTCCTGAAAGAGAGCAAAGGATTCTTCGGCAGATGTTGCCCTTACCTGCTGACATTGCCATGGTGGTTCCTGCCACCATGCCCATGGCCACACCGTTGGTTCTGGGGGCAGCAACAGGAGCTGGGTAGATGGCAGAGGGAATGCTGTTGGGCTGGACAACTGTAGTGTGGTGGATGACATGGGGCTGGGCGGCATACACGGGCTGTGTGTAGTAGGCTCCCTGGGAAGAGAGGCTAAGGTCAGATGAGTTCTTGGAGAGAGTAGGAAGGATGAAGAGAAGAGATGGTGGGTGGGGAGCAACCAGGTAAGAGAAGCTCTGGCCTAGGGACACAAGTGTAGGCTGGGGCTCTGCTCTGTCTCACTCTGCAATTAGTTCACTGCTGTGATTTAGCTTGATCTGAAAAATAAGGCCCTCTCGCTTACACCCCTAGAGTGGCTATGAATTTTTAGTAGTAAGAGCTTTTCTCCCTTTAAGCCTTGGCTTTAACATTGAAATTTTTCAAAATTTGCCAGGTATTGGTTACACACGCCTTTAATCCCAGCACTCAGGAGGCAGAGGCAGGAGGATCTCTGGTTACACACGCCTTTAATCCCAGCACTCAGGAGGCAGAGGCAGGAGGATCTCTGGGAGTCAGACGCCAGCCTGGTCTACAAGAGCTAGTTCCAGGACAGGCTCCAAAACTACAGAAAAACCCTGTCTCAAAAAACCCAAGGGAAAAAAAATCAAAAAATTTGATTCCAAGACACTACCATAACCTGCCCCTAATTTATCAGTAAGGAATATAGTCGTTTCTCAGCACGGGGACACCAAAACACTGCCACACAGGCAGATGCATTATTAATGGCATTCACCACTGTTGTGAATGCTGTTGTTTGTGTTCGTTTTGTCATTATTGGGTAGCAAGGTACCTCTGAAGGCAGTGTTCTGAAGTGATGGTTCCCTTCCCAGATCACACGGCTCTTCCTGGTGCTGCATTCATGGGCCTCCCGAGTGTGGGAGCAGATAAAAGCATCTGAGACTAAGTCAATAGTAAATAATCAAAGTCTCACCTTAGCCCCAGAGGCTAAGATACTATGCCATACTTGAGAAAAGTTGATTCAAGTCTCCTGTTTCTTATTTATCTTTTCTTTTCCAGGTAGACTGGCCTTGAACTCAATATGTAGCTGAGAATGACTTGAACTTCTTCCCAATACTGGGATTAAAGGCATATGTTGTCATGTCCCAGTTTTGTAGTATACTCTGCAACATAGCTAGTTAAAAAAATATTTTCTATTAGTTGTTTAATATATATATATATTCAAATGTGTGCGAGTATGTGTGTTTTGCCTTCATGTATGTCTGTGTACCACTTGCATGGAGGCCAGTAGAGAGCACTGTGTACCTTGAACTAGAGTTACAGATGAGTATGAGCTGCAATGCAGGTGTTGGGAATCAAATCCAGGTCCTCTGCAATAACAGCAAGTGCTCTTAATCACCAAACCATCTCTCAAGCAACATAGCTAGTTTTGTTTTTGCTTTTTTCCCAAGACAGGGTTTCTCTATGTAGTCCTGGCTGTCCTGGAACTTGCTCTGTAGATCAGGCTGGTCTCAAATTCAAAGATCCACCTGACTTTGTCTCTTGAGTGCTGGGATTAAAGGTGTGTGCCACCACCGCCCAGCAACAAAGCTGGTTTTTAAACTCCAAAGTTTAAAGACTCATTACCACTTAGACCTCATGTAGAACCGTCACTTCAGAGGATGGACCATGGTCAGGCTGGAGTCTCAAACAGTTCCCTCTTGCCTCCCCTCAGCTGCACACATTCTCCAGCAGGAGAAACCCAAATGGACCACTAAAACACTACAGAACCACAGAGGGCACCGGTAGCAGACACTGTTTTTTTTTTTTTTCCTTTTCTTTCTCTCTCCTACTTGGCTCATTGATTTTATCAAAGAAAGGGAGGTGTGAGATTAAAAGAGGGGAGATCAACACAAGTAATAGCATAACCTGACCCAGCCAATAACTCGGTGTGACCTTAGACCAGCCTTTCTCCTCTGCAGTCTCAGGTTCTCTACTTGTCCAACAAAGGAGCTGAGCCAGATCATTTCTAATGGTCCTCTGACGTTTGAGGCTCTGGTAATCTAACTGACTTCATTCTTCACCCTCTGGGAGTGGGGCAAAGTGGGCAGTGTTGCGGGAATATTCCTTAGTGACACTACAGTGATGACAGCTGGACCCATGGACTCTCTTTTCTCTTCCTCGTCCCATGCCACCCACCCTTGCTGGAAGCTCCTGCAGAAGAGCTCCTCCATGTGTACCTACCTGGGCATACAGATTCTGCTGGGGGTAGGCACTTCTGATTGGATACATGGCCGTCTGATAGGGATTGGGTGATGGGGAGTAGGGGGGTGGAGCAGTATTACTCTGGGTCGGTGGGACCTTGTATGGTGTCCCTGAAGTATATCCTGTACCAAGGCAATAAAAGAGACCTCTAGTTAGTAGGCAGAACAGCAATGCTTGAAGGCAGCAGGTCCCCAGTAAGAATTCCTCAAACAGCTGGAAACACAGATGAGGACTGACAAGGAACAGGCTTTACCCACAGAGCTGTGGTCCCTGCTTCCTCAGTTCTGGTGAACAGGGCTGCAAGCATGATTTGGGCATCTTATTTCTCTGAGTTTCAGGGCTCTCATCTATACGGGACACTATGTGTGTATAGGACACTATGTATGTATGGAACACTATGTGTGTATAGGACACTGTGTGTACGGGACACTATGTGTGTATAGGACACTATGTATAGGACACTATGTGTGTATCGGACACTGTACGGGACACTATGTGTGTATAGGACACTGTGTGTACGGGACACTATGTGTGTATAGGACACTATGTATGTATGGAACACTATGTGTGTATAGGACACTGTGTGTACGGGACACTATGTGTGTATAGGACACTGTGTGTATGGGACACTATGTGTGTATGGGACACTATGTGTGTATAGGACACTATGTGTGTACGGGACACTATGTGTGTATAGGACACTATGTATGTATGGAACACTATGTGTTATAGGACACTGTGTGTACGGGACACTATGTGTGTATAGGACACTATGTATAGGACACTATGTGTGTATCGGACACTGTACGGGACACTATGTGTGTATAGGACACTGTGTGTATGGGACACTGTGTGTGTATAGGACACTATGTGTGTATAGGACACTGTGTGTATGGGACACTGTGTGTGTACGGGACACTGTGTGTGTATAGGACACTGTGTGTGTATAGGACACTGTGTGTGTATAGGACACTGTGTGTGTATAGGACACTGTGTGTGTATGGGACACTGTGTGTGTATGGGACACTGTGTGTGTATGGGACACTGTGTGTGTATGGGACACTGTGTGTGTATAGGACACTATGTGTGTATAGGACACTATGTGTGTATAGGACACTATGTGTGTATAGGACACTGTGTGTACGGGACACTATGTGTGTATAGGACACTATGTGTGTATAGGACACTGTGTGTGTATAGGACACTGTGTGTACGGGACACTATGTGTGTATAGGACACTATGTGTGTATAGGACACTATGAATCAGAGGCCACTGTCTCCAGATGCATCACCTACAGAGCAGTGATCACAAGCAGCATGGGAACTGACTGGGCCTCTGTAAACAGGCTGTTTCTCTCTCACTACATAGAGGCAGTAGTAAGCTTCCTCTCGTGGGGCATATGATCATGGACTGCTCTTAAAAACTACAAGAGGGGGGCTGGAGAGATGGCTCAGAGGTTAAGAACACTGACTGTTCTTCCGGAGGTCCTGAGTTCAATTCCCAGCAACCACATGGTGGCTCACAACCATCTATAATGAGATCTGGTGCCCTCTTCTGGCCTGCAGGTATACTTGGAGGCTGAACACTGTATGCATAAATAATAATAATAATAATAATAATAATAATAATAATAAAAAACTACAAGAGGCAAGAGCTTGGCTGTGGTCTGTTCCAAATTGCAACACAAACTCCAGGACTCCAAGATTCTAAAATTTTATGATTCTTTAACAAGCCAATAATACGAGCAGCTTTTGTTTTGTTTTTAAATGTGCCTGGAGAACATGCTCTGGACTTTCTAGCTTTCTCAGGGAAGGCGTACCACGTCATCTAAGCCACAAAAGCAACCACATTACAAAGTGGGCTGTTCCTCTGCAGAGAATCAAAAAGTTCTAGGAGAATGCAGTAGAATTTGGTTCCTGAGGGCTGGAGAGATGGCTCAGTGGTTAAGAGCACTGGCTGTTCTTCCAGAGGTCCTGAGTTCAATTCCCAGCAACCACATGGTAGCTCACAACATCTGTAATGAGGTCTGGTACCCTCTTCTGGCCTGTATGCATACACACAGGCAGAACACTGTATTCATAATAAATAAATACATCTTAAAAATAGATATAATAAAATAATAAAAATGATTTGTTTAAAAAAAGAATCTAGTTTCCATATATGAGAATAACCTTATGGAGAATGTTTCCCCCCCTTCATGTTATTAGACAAGACATACACACTCAAAATATAAATCAATATCTAAACAGCCATGGCTGGTTATAGCCTGCTTTGCATCTCTAGATGTTTGGGATGGGAGGCAGAACTCCAGATCTTAGAGATCTCTACCATGAGAACTTCAGAGATGAGAGATGCTAACAGAGAGATTGCACACAGAAGCATGCTGTAACCATGATGCGACTCATCAGGGGCAGGAGGAGCTTCCTAAGGCTGCAGAAACCACCCAAGCTCGGGCCTTTTTCCTGAAACCCTTTCAAGTCAGCTTCTTATATTGGAAATATCTTCAGTTGGACTAGATCATTTCAGAGGGCATTTTGATGTTAACATTCTAAGTCTTTAGTACTTCAGTAGGACATCTATGAGGACATCATCTTCACCCTGTCCATACCCCTGGGGAACACTGAAAATCTAGGCTAATATCCTGGGCTTAGATATCATAAAAGTTAGGGTTTACTACTTTGTGCATCTACTAAGTAAAAGAAGCTGTTGGGTTTGTTGCAAAAATATCCTATGGGTTTTTACTCAAATAAATTTAGACCCAACTGGAGGGCTAGTTTGAAATGAATGCTAAATCTGAAGGTCACAGAATGGGAACTTTGGGATGCTATACCTTAAAGGCATTTGAGACCTATTCTGAGGAAGAACCTATAACTTAGAAAGTAATTTTTTCAAAATTGCACATCATATCTACAGCCATAGAGCAGAGGTCAGTTAATGTTGCCTTGGGCAAAGCTGTTTCTGAGTTAAATGTCTCTACAGTACAATACTGGACATCTGGTGTACTGGCCTTCGTATCCCCGTTTCACTAAAGGCTGTGTCTAGAAGTACCAACTCTGTCTTATGAAGAGGTTTTGTTTATGAGCCGCCTCTGTCTGTCTCAGGTTCCTAGCTATAGGCTATATCAGATGGAAGCATTGACAAGATGAAGCTGCTGTAGCCCTCTCTTTAACCCTGCTTCACTGTCAAAAATCTTTTTCAGTTGTAGAGCCCACTACCTTACACTAATTGCTTTGTTGATCATCAGGTTTATACATCAGGGCAAATTCTGGACAAAATAACACTGTAGGTCTGAACCTTGTCTTGACCTCAGTTTTCTTGTTGGTGGTTAAACCCTCAAGTACTGAGTAAGTAAGAGGGTTACATAATTATGAACATGTGTTATCAACTGTTGGTTAAATTGGTGTGAATTTGTCAAAGTGCCCTGAGAGCACTGTGGTACTAAAAAGCAACGAAATCTGCATGCTTGGAGGAACTTTTGTGAGCCTGCATGAGTGAGTCAGACAATCCCGATCCTTCTAAACGTTTTATCCATTTATATAATACTTGCTTGAAAAAGAGTGATACATCTTGGTCCTACCTAGAAACTTGACAGCCTGTCCAAGAGGGGAGAGCAGGATTTAACTACTGTATATTTCTGTGGGACTTTTACAAGATTTTAGCACAGAAGGTAAGGCAATCTGACGCTTCCTCCCTGTAGGAATGAGGACCTTATTCCTAGAGATACGAGCAAAGCCTTGAGAGCTAGCTCACTGATGAGGGAGCTGGAGAGGACTTTGTGAGAAGCTCACAGCTCTACAGCGAGGGGTCAGGAGTCCAATAGCTAGCACAGACTTTAAAGGTGACCTGGTCCAAGGTGTTCAGTTCTAGAGACTACTGACCAAAGCAGAGCCACGAATTATCCAGTCACATAGAATCAAGACTAGAGTCCGCTATCTTCCACACCAGGCCCCTTTCTGCTGCACTGGAGTAACTGTGCCTTTATTCACGTACATCCACATTTATGGACTACACATGTATCAATTTACATTATATAACTTTAAATATGTTCACTCAATTCTACTTAAGGAACATGGAAAAACTTCTTATAGCTGCCATTCCTCTCATTATTCTTTTTGAGACCAACTCTCACTATGTACCTCAGATTGACCTAAAAGTTGCTATGTGGCCTAGGTTGGCCTTGAAATTGTGATCCTCTTGCTTTAGCCTTCTGCTAAGCTACCATGATACCTCATTTGTCTTTTGAAAGAGGCAGGAGCCGGGCGATGGTGGCGCACGCCTTTAATCCCAGCACTCGGGAGGCAGAGGCAGGCGGATCTCTGTGAGTTCGAGACCAGCCTGGTCTACAGAGTGAGTTCCAGGACAGGCTCCAAAACCACAGAGAAACCCTGTCTCGAAAAACCAAAAAAAAAAAAGAGTCAGGAGTAGAATTCTAGTTTGAAAGCTATCTTTTTCCAGCTGTGCTGGCATATTAATTACACAGCGTTGGGCATACTGCCTTCTTGAATCTTTGGAAATTTCAAAGCAGGATAAAAGTCCACCCAAACTTTATAGACTATAATCTTGATTAAACCAGGGGCTGATTTTGAAAGCAGAATCTACAAAAGGTACACCATGCTGGGTTAGGAGATGCTGATATGTAAGGACAGTGACAATGAGGAGAAAATAACATTGGTTTTGTTGTTGTTTTTAAAGAAAAGGGCTCACCATGTAACCTTGGCTAGCCTAAAAATCACTATGTAGACCAGGCTAGCTTTTACCTTACAGAGAGATCTATCTGCCTCTGCCTCCTGCGTGGTAGGATTATAGGCATGTGTCAGGCTTGACATTGGATATTTAATTTATTTTAAAAGATTTGTTCTGCTGGGCAGTGGTGGCGCACGCCTTTAATGCCAGCACTCTGGAGGCAGAGGCAGGCGGATCTCTGTGAGTTCAAGGTCAGCCTGGTCTACAAGAGCTAGTTCCAGGATAGGAACCAAAAACTACGGAGAAACCCTGTCTCGAAAAATCCAAAAAAATAAATAAATAAAAAATAAAAGATTTGTTTTTATTTTATGTGTATGAATTTAGCTGTGTGCATGTATGGGCCTCATATTTGTGCCTAAAACACAAAGAGGTCAGAAGAGGGCACTGGGTTACCTGAACTGGAGTTGCAGATGGTGGTAAGCTGCCTTGTGGGTGTTGGGGATTGAACCTGGGTCCTCTGGAAGAGCAGTCAGTGCTCTCAACTGCTGAGCTATGTCTCTAGCCCCAACACTGGATATTTTACACTTGGTCTCAGCAAAAAGGCTGAGAAGCAATGACATTGGGTAATTAAAAGAAAAGAAAACAAATTCAATGAATTTTCCTAGCCTACCTAGTAAGTTACTTTTCTATAACATTTTGCTAAGGGTTTGTCCAGTTCCTGCTGGCATAAGTCCAGAAACCAGCGCTCATCAGCTCATCACATCCAAAGCCAGTCATTCCAATGCCCAACAGCTGCCACAGGCACAAGTTCTTCCACTCAGCAATTTCTAAATGATGGTCCTGACTGGAGTCATCTGTGTTACCAATCAGCTGAAAAGGTGACAACATTAGTAAGCCTCAGGCTGAACATGACCAATGTGGCTACTGGTGTCTGTCCATGTCATACCATGTTCCCAAAGTGTGCATGAACTAGGGCAGTGTTTCTTATACAGAGGAATACTGAGCCCTATCTGGAGACATTTTTGGTAGTGACAATGATACTTTATTTATTTATTTATTCATTCATTCATTTATTATGTATACAATATTCTGTGTGTATGCCTGCAGTCCAGAAGAGGGCACCAGACCCCATTACAGATGGTTGTGAGCCACCTTGTGGTTGCTGGGAATTGAACTCAGGACCTTTGGAAGAAGCAGGCAATGCTCTTAACCTCTGAGCCATCTCTCCAGCCCCATGACAATGATCTAACAGAGAGAAGTTACAGTCACTGCTAAACATCCTACCATGCATAGGAAAAAACTCATGTGTCCCAGATGCCAACAGTGCTAAGGTCAGAAATCCTGCGGGTAGGAAGAGACACACAAAGCCTTCAATTGTGCCTTGATCCTTCCCCTAAAATGAAGTCATTGTCTTTCACAAACCCAACTTCTTGACCCAGGCGCACTCCTCCTTCACTGCTGTGGATATCCCGAAGGCATGATCACAGATGATCATCATTCTTGAATGACAAAGCCATTTTTTTTTTTTGCATGACTAGAAGAACCTCTTAAAACAGTGTTTATACTAAAAATGTCATTTTAAAAATTCCCTTTCCTGGCTGGGTGATGGTGGTACACGCCTTTAATCCCAGCATTTGGGAGGCAAAGGCAGGCAGATCTCTGTGAGTTCAAGGCCAGCCTGGTCTACAAGAGCAAGTTCCAGGACAGGCACCAAAGTTACAGAGAAACCCTGTCTCAACAAAACAAACAAACAAAAACAACAACAATCCCTCCCCCCCAATCCCTTTCCTTTCTTCCTAACAAACAAATCTGTCCCGACCAAGGGGAACAAGGAGAGGAGAAGACAGGCTGTATTTACTGAAAGCCGCAGAGGAGGCTTGGTAAGTTCGGTTCTCGGTCCCGGTGTCCACTGGGAGGTGGAAGGTGCCTTCAGTGCCGCAGGACGATGAGCTCTGTGGCCAGGCCTGTTTCATCAGCAGAGTGGCTTGGGGAAGACACAAGAATGGCATTAGGCAGAGTATGAAGTGGGCACCACCAATTACAGACACAAAAGCAAGGGTCTTGTGCCAGACAGAAACATAACTCAAGGAGCCTGCTCAGACACACAATGATTCAGCCTTCTTGAGATGGGGAGTGGGTGGGAGAAGTGCTGAAGTGAGCTTCTAAAGGACCTCCAAGGAAGCCTACACTTAAAAACTGAGAATCAGGACTTTTCTATCTTATCTAAACTGTGGTGTATTCCTCTACTACTTCCTCATTAACATGAAGACACTGGAATTCTTTAACAGTGTACTGGGCCAAATTAACTGAGTCTTAAAAAATCCCTCTGGTCTGAAATCTCATCTGGAGGTATGGTTAATACGTTGTGGGTTGCACCAGGTATGGTGGCACAGTCCTTTAATCCAAGTACCTGGGAGGCAGAGGTCAGCCTGCGCTACGCAGTGAAACTCTGTCTTAAAAAACCAAAAAAAAAAAAAAAAAAAAAAAAGTTGTGAATTGTTTCCAAGTAACTACCATTTTACATGAGCCTTGCTCGAATAGCATCTCCTCTAACAGATTGTGATGAGCTGGGACCATGGCTGCACTATTAGCTATCAAGGGGGCACTCCTTGCCAACTCCTGCTGCACATTAGCCAGGGGCAGATGGACACACCTTGTGCAAATGTCTGAAAATCTAATCAGTGCTAATGGATGCTCCAACTGAGTTAGAGATGAACCTTTGGCCATTATGAAAGTGTCAAAATTGGGGTAGGTATATTATAAAAATTAGTTTGAAATCTGTAGAGACTTCCCAGGAAAGCTCAAAGCTCAACTTAAATTTCATTAAGTGTTCTAGATGTGGGGAATGTCTTAAAAAACTTACCGTCATGGTATCCTGAGGGAAAGGAAAGAGAGGAAATAGGAGATAAATGCCTTAAAAAAAAAAAAGGAAGAAAGGAAGAAGAAGGAAGGAAAGGAAAAAAACTATTCTTTTAAATACCAGAGGAGACACTTTTTTTTATCTAAATTTCTATCTTATAGTTAAAAAAGGATTAATTTCTTTCTTTATAACATCTTTTACAATCTAATAAGATCTTGGGAGTCTTAGACACAGTGCTAACAGATTGTTAAGTATGTTAACAGAAATGGGGCTGGACTGGCAACAATCAGATAAACTTGTGAAATATTTTAATAAAGGGTTAAGGAAAGACAGGGAAGCATAAGAAGAAAGTCTGCTGGTCACATTGATTCCTACAGGATCTGCTACCTCCGGAGAGATTCTGCAGTGCCTTTGTGGCCTGGTTTCCAACTAACATCTCTATTCCTTCTATCACAGAATTATAATGGCTAGAGAAGGCTGTGGATTCTGCTGTTTGTTTTTTTTTTTTTCTGAACTAGAATCAGAACGTAGCTGCATAGGCTGACTGTGCTTGCATTAATGGCCCGCAATCTATATAGCGAATGCTGAGGAATGAGAAGGAAATCATGGGCAGGAGAGAGACACTAAAAGGAGAATCTGGCAAGAGAAATAAACGGGGACAACACAATTCCACGTGGAGCCCAGAGTCCTTACAGACGGCCAGACACAGTTGTGCAGCCCCTGCAGGAGGAGGGAATCTACTTTAAATAAACATCTTCAGTGTTTTTGTCCAGAAGGTGGAAGGACCCAATTAGTGTCAAAATCTTATCACAATGTCTCCAAATTCAGGGATTGATATTCCATGTGGCTGGAAGGCCACAACTATCCTCAAACAATTCCCTGCTGTGTCAAATGTGTAGCTCTGAGAAGTCAAATAGAGCAGTTCCAGGCCCTAAGATCTCAGTGAGGCTCTACCGAGGACCAAGAGGTCTAAATTTGGTCATAAGAATTTGGAAAATTTAGAAGTCCTGGGTCCTGATTTGTTCTATTTTTGGTTTTTTTTTTTCCTTCTTCTGAGTGAGGGCATACTTATAATTTTCATTATAAGCCAAATGTCTGACAATTGCCTGAAGGACTGTGTGACAACTGAAGTTAAATCAAAATTAGCCACAGAATATTGAGGCCTAACTGTACTCAGCACTGAGGGGAGCGCCACGGTGGACAGGAACACGCCTGGGTTACATCACTGCACACAAGGTACTTACTGTTGACTGGGGATACAACTCAGCCACACATCAACCAGGGAGTGAACAAGACAGCATGTCACAGTAAAATAATGTTGCAGTTTAACTGGGAAAGAAGCAAGTGCCACTGAGTCATTGATTGTCTTTCCTAAGTGATCACTTAGGCTAAACTTTACATTTTTCAAATAAAGGGGAAGTTTCTTCAGGTTTTATTAGATACTGGAAGCAAACAGAATTTTCTGTGTCTTTTCTTTTTGTTTGTTTGTTTTTTTGAGACAGGAGTTCTTTCTGTATTAGTCCTGGCTCTTCTGGAACTGAGAGATCCACCTGCCTCTGCCTCCTTGGGTCTGGGGTTAAGACTGCTCCACCACATCCAGTTGTGTCTTTTCTTTATGCTAGAATAATCAATAATTTAAATAATCAGATACATGTGAAGACAGAATGAAAATGATTTTTTAGCAGTCAATTAAACCTCTTCATTAACTGTATGATTCGGTTTCTCCGTTCAGCTCTACAGTAATCCTTTTGATGATGGAGCTCAGCTGCTCCATGAAACCAATCCCAATCATATGAAGCTTTTAGCAGCATGGCAATAGACAGGTCTCCCCTGTCAGGCAGACCTGTTTTGGGATGCTGAAGAGGAACTACTTCTTAAAAATGTTTTATTCTTTGAATTAAGCAATAGTTGAGTACAGATGTATCACATATGAAAACATTATTAAGCTGTTCACTTAAGACTTTATGTACTTACTATAAATGTGTAAAAAGAACAGAAAGGGGAAAACCAAACCATGTGGAGGGCTATGACCCCTGTCACAGCAGGCTCCCACATCTAGATGCTGAGTTGTTCACTTCTTGGATATGGGACCCTCACGCCCTTTGACACTAGAACAGTCTGTTAAGCACATTCACAAAGAGAGACAGCAAGGGACCATTGTCCTGAACCATGTGCTGAGTCAGGAAGGCTGAGATCCAGCCTGGGCTCTGCCATTTATTGGCTGTGTGACCTTGGGCAAGTCACTTGGCTGTCAGTTTTGTTGTACTGTAAATGGCGAACTAATCCCTCCCTGGCTGCTTCAAAGGACTGACAGACAGATCCTCAATCTTAATTGTTTCTAGTTCTGGTAGCTGTGTGCTTCTATCCCTAGAGTTGTGGCCAACTCTAGTTCAAACTCTAATTATCTTTGATCTCAGCCACTCCCACTGCTTCTTAATGCTTTGGTTCTGTTTGTTTTAACTTGTCCCTTCTAATCTCCAAGCCAAACTCTAAATAAAGTTTAGAAACATTTCATGGTTCTCTGTTGCCTACAGGCTGCAGACTCGACTCCCCTGACCTAACACCGATGCTCTCTTGTGGTTTGAACTGAAACATTCTACATTGGCTCATAAGTTTAAGCACTTGGTCTCTGGTTGGAGGTGCCATTTTGGAAGGTTGTGGAACCTTTAGGTGGCAGAGTTTTGGGAGAAGTAGCTCACTGGGGGTAGGCTTTGAGGTTTTATAGGCTGGTCCTACTTCTTGACCAGTCCTCTCCCTGACTGACACATCTGTCTCGGCTCTCTAATAATATCTCACTCTCCAACCCACACTACTGTGCACAACTCTTCTCATTCCCAGAGTCTGCCGAGGATTTGTTTCTCCGAGGTCTGTCCACTCTACCAGCTCTTCTGGCTCACAGGTCACCATGAGGTCTTTGCCTCTGTGCACTCTGACCACATCATCCCACATAGTTGACTATCTCAGTTCCCGTAAGGCCTGGCGTAGAACTGTGTGAAGTTCTCCATTCATTCTGGACGTAAAGGTCAGTGGTTCTCAACCTTCCTACTGCTGCAACCCTCTAACACAGTTCCTCATGCTGTGGTGACCCCCAACCATGAAATTACTCTTGTTGCTACTTATAACTGTAATTTTGCTGTTAGGAATCAAAATATAAATCTGTGTTTTCCTATGGTGTTATGTGACCCCTGTAAAAGGGTCTTTAAACCCCAAAGGGTTTATGACCCACCGGTTGAGAATCACTGCTTTAGTTGGAAGCAGGAGTAGCATGCAGCCTTCTCTAGCATTTTAGAGTTGTTTGAGTTCATATATTCTGTAGCAAACAAACAAACAAACAAAGCCAAAAAAACCCCAGCCTCTTATAAGTGGTAAGTGAAACAGTTCTGTAGCTAGCACTATTGAAATAATAAAAATTACAAGAGGATGGTATGTTAGCATTTAAAAGAACCTTGAGATCATGTGATATGAAAAACTTTATGGCCTGGGGACATCAGTAAGTTGCTCAAGATCACACAGCCCACAGCAGTAGTGAAAAGAAATTTCATAGCTCATCTTCTGAAAGATGTACCATGTGTAAAAATTTCACTTTTCTACAGCAAGATTAAAAGTTGGGAAAACATTCAAAGACTTCACAAAAACATCATGAGTGTGGTAAAAGTGGCAAGTTTCTCCCATGGTCCCTTACTGTCTACAAGAAGGACCTAGTCAAGTTACACTGTTGGGACCCTCACAGGTGCCCAGAAGTTCCCGTGGTGCCTTGGTCCTGGAGTCCACACTGCCCAGAGAACTCAACTCAGATCTCTCACCCACTGGCACACTTGGCCCATACCTTTCATCATCCAGAAAAATGCTCCGAAAATGAGGATGAAGGCAACAGAGTGTATCTAAGGTCAACCAGGTCTTCAAACATGTCAGACTGCTAATAGAGATGGAAAATCTAAGCCTGGGGCCATCTGACTGTATTTTGTATTATTTATAATAGTCATAATCAAGGGGCTCCTCAGAGCCTATCAAAAAGCCAAAAGAGCAGCCACACACAGACCCTAGAATTTTCATTCATTTGTTTGAATCAGGCAGTCAGGTTAAGGTGTGCGATGCCTTTAGGGCCATGATCCTTCATTACAGCCCTACGGGAATGGTTCATGTGTGTCTCCAACCCATGATTTTGCACCATCAGACATGTTCCTGCATGCTATAGGAACTGCTGCTGAGCCACCTGGGGGAGCCCAAGCCTAGGAGGTGGGATTTGGGGAGGAAAGGACAGGGAATCTACCATTGTTACAAGATAACACATTCATAGGCCATAATACAGATGAGGAAAAATAGCTCTCCTACCATAAGCTGAATGCAGGAACTGAAACTCTGTTGGACAGAAATGTTAGTTGAAATTACCACTAGGAATTGTGCAAAGTTGTACATACTGCAGTTATATAACAGACTTGTTTCAAGACAGCAGTTTCCCCCAGGCTGCATAAGAAGCAGTGAATGGAGAAAATGGGAATTACCTCCCCCTGGAAAGGGTGACAGACTTGCCATCCAGGAAAGTTCATCAGTTGCAGAGAAGCACCTCCCTGGGTGCCACATGATCTTTCAGAGAAGTAACCGAAAAGTTCCTATTCTTTGCTTGTTCATCTTAAGACCACTTCAAAAATCATGGGCATCACAGGCCTCTCAAGAGAACCAGGCTCAGTACAGAGATATTCCATCTAGGACAGTGTTATGCTGTAGAAGGAACATGGCTATAGGATCAGACAAATGGGTTTGAATCTCAGATCCATGGCATTTTTGGGGGGTGGTATAAGTGCTCTGTCTGCATGTTTGCTTGCATGCCAGAAGAGGGCAGCAGATTCCATTGTAGATAGGTGTGCATCACGAGGTGGTTGCTGGGAAATTAACTCAGGACCTCTGGAAGGGCAGCCAGCACTCTTAACTGCTAAGCTATCTCTCTGGCCCCAAATCCATGGCATTTTAAATCTAATTCTGAAAGTTACTTAATATTCTCTGAGCTAAACTGGAGGCAAGAAACTCTAGCTTACAAGACAAAGGTAAAAAGGCACACTTGTAACTTGTACAGGTGTTTAGAAACAGATTATTTTCTTCTACTTTCCCCCAAGTTTGGAATATCTAAAATGGGAATGGGAAAATTATATGCATACTTCAGTGGGAGACAAGAGACGAGAACAAGTGTTTTTGTTTTTTCCTCCTTCCCTCCCTCCCTCTCTCCCTTTTGGTTTTTGAGACAGGGTTTCTCTGTGTAACAGTCCTAGCTGTCCTGGAACTCACTCTGTAGACCAAGCTGGCCTCAAACTCACAGAGATTCACCTGCCTCTGCCTCCCAAGTGCTGGGATTAAAGGTTTGCACCACTACCGCCCGGCTTGTTTTTCTTGTTTTCTGAGACAGGGTTTCTATGTATAACAGTCCTGGCTGTTCTGGAACTAGCTCTTGTAGACCAGGCTGGCCTCGAACTCACAGAGACCAAGTGCTGGGATTAAAAAACATGGGCCACCACTGCCTGGCTGAGAACATGCTTCTTATGAAAGAGTTTTGACATTAGTTTTCTATTTATTTTTTCACTTTCAAATTACATTATCATTTTTTATGATAAGCCGCTTGCTCCCTGAATTCTAAAAAAAAAAAAAAAAAAAAAAAGTTGTGGCCAGCTTTTGCCTTCTGCAAAGTTAAGTATCTAAATACAGTCCCTGAAGTTGTTAAGCACTTGGGAAGAAGCCCAGGTACCCACAGGGCTTTCAGAACCAATGGAAGAATGAGCTTTCCCCTGTATCCTGAACAGATTAACTTAAGGGAGCACAGAGCTGCTAGAAATAGCTCTCTGTGAGCAATTTCTTAGTCTTCTTGAAGTAACTGAAGGAAATTTAAACTTTCATGGCTGCTCCTTAGAGACACTTCTCTGCATCACAAATGGCCAGCTCTGGCAAGAAGCTGAGAGTCACCTATAAATTTCCCTCAAACCTTGAGCCTTTATGGCAAGAGCTTCACCCCCAATAATCAGACCTGTGAAGGCAGAGGTCAGCCACAAAATATGAAATAGACCCAGCTATGAGTGTGTGTGTGTCTCAAAAGGGAGAGGTCTCCTCCCCCCCCCCCCCCAGTCACACAAACATCTGAAACAGTTAATTCAGTCTGATACCTCTTTTTTCCTTCCCTTCCATACTGATTTTGCAGTAAGGATGGCCTACTCTTGATCTTCCTGTCTTTAGCTCCCAAGTGTAGGGCTAATAGTGCGTGTCACTATGCCTGGCCGGTGTGGGCTTGCTAACACAATGCACCAGTGCCATCCTTTATTGTGTATTTTGGTTACTGAGCAAATGGTCTGGCTTAATCATAGATTAAAATATGTTGACTTTTTAAAACATTAATCAGGTCGAATATCGGCTTTTTGTTTTGTTTTTTAACTTGACTATTTGAAACATAACACTCTACCTACACCAGCAGCTTTCCAGGCTCTTCATGGTTTTAATAATCTCAGAGCCCAGCAGTGATGGTGCACGCCTTTAATCCCAGCACTCGGGAGGCAAAGGCAGGTGGATCTCTGTGAGTTCCAGGACTGGCTCCAAAGCTAGAGAAACCCTGCCTTGAAAAACAAACAAACAACCCACCATCACCATCACCACCACCACCAAACAACAACAAAAACAAAACAAAACAACAGAAACAATTTCAGACTCCTCTGCACTGCTCCTTCACCAGCTGGTAGCTCCTATCTAACACCTCAGCAGCGACAGACAGTTAAGAGTTCTGGTACCGTGGCAGGATGCCAGAATGTGGTTCTAGTTGCCGAACTTCTTTAAGCTTGTTTTCCCAATTGGAAATTGTGGGGGGGGGGGGAAAGTACTCAGTATGTTGTAATATAAAAAACAAGCTAATATCCATAAAGAGCTTCAAATTACTGCTAACACAAAGGAAACATTGAATTAATCGTAGTTTTTTGTTGTTTTAGTTCTCTCTCTCTCTCTCTCCCTCTTCCTCTCCCTCTCCTTTCTTTACCTTTTTTAAGGGTCTCATTATATAGCCCTAGTGGGCCCAGAACTTACTATATAGACCAGGTTGGCCTGGAACTCACTCATAGAGACCCATTTGTTCCGTTTCCCAAATGCTGGGATAAAGGCGTGCACTACTACACCTTTAACAGCAGTATTTTATTCTTGCCAATCACATGACAAATTGCCCCTTAAATAATTCTAAAATCTCTCACCAGAATACTGTGAGAAATTAGTTCACTGCTAGGGCTTGGAGCCTGAACCAAATGGGTGCTAGCCCTGAGCTTCTCCCCCACTGAGGCACTCTACCTCCTCCTGTCACTCAATTTCCCAAACAAGGAAGGAAACTGAACACAGGAGCCCTGTTTGCCAGCGGCTGGGAAGACTAGTTCTGTGCTCTAATCTGTGACTTGTTTAGTACTTGCTCCTTCCCACAAGTGTGCACTTAATCCTACTGACACCTGTTCTCCTGCACATCCCCTTCCACACTGTGCCTTTGTTTCTCTTTCTGGAGAGCGTACTTCCACGCTCTACACCTCTTCTCCTTTCCTGCTTCACTGCCTTCCAGTCTCACCACCTCCCTGACTACAGCCACAAGAGACTGAATTAAAGAATTCTTTTTTAAAACATAATTTATTTATTTTTAATTTATGTGCATTGGTGTGGATAAATGTCTGTGTGAGGGTGTCAGTTACAGACAGTTGTGAGCTGCCATGTGGGTACTGGGAATTGAATTCGGGTCCTCGAGAACAGTCAATTCTCCCAACTGCTGAGTCATCTCTCCAGCCCAGAATTAAAGAATTCTTGAGGGCTTTTCAACTCCATAATATTCACTGAAATTGGAGGAGAGAGGATGTAACATTTAACGGCTTTCCAAATCTGTTCCTTGTAGTCTGTAGCTGGGATTCATCCAGTCCAAACCTGCTAGTTCTAGGCTCAGAAGTCAGGCTCCACACCTCCACCTTGCCTTTCCAAGCATGCTCTGTGTGTTTCCAAAGGCCCCTCCTACTTCTACCTCAAGTCTCCACTGTCACTATCACCTCAAGGTAGACTGTGGTTCTACCTCTGCTCTAATCTGTGTTCTTTTTATATTACTTTCTGTACTGTAGCACAATTCATTTATTAATATGCCATGATCCAAAATTAATTAGCTCCTTTAGGCAAAGACGACAACTTTTTCTTTTTTTTTAAAGATTTTTTTTTTTTAAGATTTATTTATTTATATGTACACAACATTCCTTCCATGTATGTTTGTATGCCAGAAGAGGGCACCAGATCTCATTATAGATGGTTGTGAGCCACCATGTGGTTGCTGGGAACTGAACTCAGGGCCTCTGGAAGAGCAACCAGTGCTCTTAACCTCTGAGCCATCTCTCCAGCCCCCTTAAAGAATTTTTTTTGTGATTTATTTAACTTTATTTTATGTGCATTGGTGTGAAGGTCTCAGATTCCCTGGAACTGGATTTGCAGATAGTTGTGAGCTGCCATGTGGGTACTGGGAATTGAACCTGGGTCCTCTGGAAGAGTAGTCAGTGCTCTTAACCACCAAGCCATCTCTCCAGCCACAACTTTTACTTTTTCTATCCCAGAATAGAGGACATACAACAAATGCTTAGTGAGTGAATAAAGAATTTATGTAAAGTCATCTGCAACCCTGAGGTAAATGGTTACACGTGAATTTTGGAACAGTGACTTATCCAAGGCTGTACACCTATGGAGAAGAATAATCAGGATTCAAACCCAGGACTTCAAACCGTAGAACCCATTCCCTTTCCTGACCATGAGTGTTGAGCACTGACTGAGCCCAGGAGCAACATTAGTGGTTCAATATTTTCTTTCTTTAGCCTCTTTCTCTCTCTCCCTCTTGCTATGAACTCAAGCTGGCCTCAGCCTCCAGGTGCAGGGATTACAAGTGTATGCCATCATACCTAGCATCTTCTTCAGTATTTCAAACCCATTTTAATCTCTCTGTTCAAGAAGTGTTCTATGTCTTCTATTTCTGGAAAACAAGTAAATTGTCTTAGCCTGTGAAAAGGCTCTTTACTCTGGTGGCAAGTCTATCACTCTGTTCCAAATTTATACCCCAGAAGGAAAGGGAGGGAAGGAGTAGGAAGGGGAATGAGTGGAGGGAGGGAGGGAGAGAGGGAGGGAAGAAGAGAGGGAGGAAGGGAGGGAGAGAACAAGAGAATGATTCCCAATGGCAGCCTCAGGCAAGACTGAACAAAAAATTAATTCGGACATTGCTTGAGAGAGATGAAGCAGTTTCAAGGGGTGGTGGCGTGTCTCATATAGTCCAGCATAGGAGAGAAGGACCACCCTTAAGTCCCAGGAGAATGAAGCAGGTTCTGCTCCCACTCCCACCCCAAGGTTGTTCTGCCCCAGTTCCCAGAGGGGATTCCAAAGAGAATCAAGCCAGAACTGGCTGACTCCAGGCAGTCTCAAGAGAAGGACCAACTGGTGGATTTGTTTTTACCAATGAAGACCTACTTCCATCTCTTCATCCCTGCTGCTCCCACCCATTGCTTACCTGGAGCATAACTGGGGCTATTGGTCGGGTACAGGCTGGGATTGTAGGCAGGGGCAGCTGCTGGGTAGGCTGTGGGGTAACCTACAAAGACAGAAGAAAAGCCTCACTTAGTTAGGTAAGGGGACTAGGGAGGCTTGGCTTTCAGTCTCTTCACAGACTCACTCTCTCTCTCTCTTTCTCTCCCCTCCCTCCCTCCCTCCCTTCTTCCTTCCTTTCTTTCTCCCTGAGACAGGGTTTCTCTGTGGTTTTGATTCCTGTCCTAGAACTAGCTCTTGTAGACCAGGCTGGCCTTGAGCTCACAGAGATCCGCCTGCCTCTGCCTCTTGAGTGCTGGGGTTGAAGGTGCGCCACCGCCCAGCTTCACGGACTATTTCTGACAGTGTATAAATGAACAGCTTTCAGATTTCTAAGAGAAAAGTCACCAAATAGTGCAACCTTATTTTTTTTTTTTTTTTGGTGTTTTCGAGACAGGGTTTCTCTGTGGTTTTGGAGCCTGTTCTGGAACTAGCTCTTGTAGACCAGGCTGGTCTCGAACTCACAGAGATCCGCCTGCCTCTGCCTCCCGAGTGCTGGGATTAAAGGCGTGCGCCACCACCGCCCGGCTGCAACCTTATTTTTTATAAGCAATACATGCAATATGTCTGTCTCTGCACTGCAGAATGGTAGAAACAATATTAACATTCATACAATAAAATATATAAACTTACCAGTAATTCCTGACACACCACTACTTTCTTCCCCAAAAGGTAACTTCTTCAGCACTAACAATTTTTGGTATATGACATAAAAATGAATACTTTACGTTGGCATGGACTTTGGTTTATTGATACAAATTTAAGGTCATTTTGTTATATGTATATTTCTACCCTTGTTTAAGGTATTATGTTTATACAGGTCACTTAAAAAATGTAATATATAGGGGACTGGAGAGATGGCTCAGTGGTTAAGAGCACTGCCTGCTCTTCCAAAAGTCCTGAGTTCAATTCCCAGCAACCGCATCTGTAATGAGATCTGGTGCCCTCTTCTGGCCTGCAGGCATATATGCAGACAAAATACTGAGAATACTGTATACATAATAAATAAATAAATCTTTTAAAAATGTAATATATAATTAAAAATTACAGATTAATAGTCAGTCATTTATACTAGTCAAATTTGTAGTCATGTTAGTTAAGTTTTCTAGATATACAGAAATATATTTCAGCTAGATAATCTTCAACACTTCAAAGACCTACAGAATATGGCACTTAAAAGGTTTGAAAAACTTACACTTTTCTTGGGAGTATGACATGTCTGCTTCTGGCAACACAAATTACTTCAGAGAGATTGATGGGTAGTAAAGAAATTTGTTATGGAATTTGCATTCAATGTGACAAGGCTAAATATTTGGGCAAGAAACTGTCCTTGTCTGGACTGCTTGACAGTATGCTGTATGAACTGGACATTCAGGACCCACAGAAAAATGACTGCTGAACTTGTCAAAAGAAGGTGAGGCAGTCCTTCAGGGTTCTGCTTCATGAAAGAGTCTGCAGGACACAGAAGAAAGTGACTGACAAACTGCTGATGTAGGCAAAACAATCTTTCAAATTTCCTGCTTCATGGAAAAATCTGCCAGATACTATGGGCCTATATGCTGAAAATGATGCCCCAACATTACAAAAGAACTTTGGGTGACTGTCCAGGCAGCAAAATGTCTCCATCAATTCTAGAGTTTTAGAAGTTGCTTACAATGCACTTCCTGTTAACTTAGGTAATATATCCTTTTGGAGTCTTTGATAGAGTTGAAGACAGTTATAGTTTTTTCTTAGCTGTGATAAAAGATAAATTAGATATGAAACTCTAAACTCACAGACAAAATATGGATGATAGAATATTTCCTTTAATTTTATCAGATATAAATAGATTAAATTTGTGACCGTAATTCTTGCTTCATATCTGTTTTGGTTTATGTAATTTTACCATGTGAAAGTTAAAACTTTCCTTTTTATTTAGACAGAAAAGGGGAGATGATGTGGGATTCCTCTCTGTATGCTAAGAATGTTTTATTACCATTGGTTAATAAAGAAGCTGCTTTAGCCTATGGCAGGGCGGAATATAGGTAGGGGGAAAACTAAACTGAATGCAGGGAGAAAGAAGATGGAATCAGGCAGACAACATGAAGCCACCCAAGAAGCAAGCTGCAAGGTAACAAACCACAAGCCTTGTGGTAAAATATAAAGTAACAGAAATGGGTTAATTTAAGATGTAAGAGCTAGCTAGGAATACACCTGAGCCATTGGCCAAACAGTATTGCAATTAATGTAGTGTTGTGTGATTATTTGGGTCTGCACATGTATGGCAGCTAAAGAGAATAACTTGGTGGAGTCAGTTCTCCTTCTGCTATATGTGGAATCCAGGGATCAAACTCAGGTCACCAGGTTTCTGTGGCAAGTGCCTTTAACCCACTGAACCATCTAGCCAACCCTAGACACTCTTATTGTTTTGAAATTCTCTAATGTACTAACTATAAAATTTGCCATTTTAACCACTTGTTATTGATTAACTGCTTAATTCCCTCCACAGTCTGACACCTGATCGCCATCTGTCAGCACTGTTCTGGGAGGTTGCAGAACCTAGGAGATCTAGGCCACCAGGAGGGGCAGGCCTTGAGGGCTATAACTTGGCTCTGCTTTACACTCCATCTTGGTGTCCTAGCTGCTGCCTCAGAGATCAAGCCAAACACCATCCTTCACTGCTGTAAGGGTCTGTATTCCTTGAAACCATGAACTAAAATCCCACTTAAGTTATTTCTTTCTTTCTTTCTTTCTTTCTTTTTTTTTTTTTTCGAGACAAGGTTTCTCTGTGGCTTTGGAGCCTGTCCTGGAACTAGCTCTTGTAGACCAGGCTGGTCTCGAACTCACAGAGATCCGCCTGCCTCTACCTCCCGAGGGCTGGGACTAAAGGCATGCGCCACCATCGCCCGGCTAGTTATTTCTTTGAGGTAGTTTTTGTCACAGTGGTGAGAAAATGATCTCATACTGTTTGGGCAATTCAGAACACTTCATTACTTTCCTAGTGTTAAACACAATTGTCTTCTGTATGTTCCTAAAACGTTTCTGCCATCTCAAATAGAAACTCTGTAACCACTGGTAACTTTCAAGCCTCTAGTTCTCATTAGTAATCTAATCTACTTTTAAAAAGTTATTTCTAGAATTCATTTCTAAAGAAATAATCAGAGTCTAGGCTGGAAAGATAGCTTAATGGTTACGAGAACTGGCATATCTGTCAGTGAATCTGGGTTCAGTTCCTGGCAGTCACACGATGCCCAGGCATAAGTGCAGGCAAAATAACTATTTACATAAAAATACATAGAATTTTGAAAAATGTTTCAAAGATTTTTTTTTAGTTTTTTCCCCAGGTTTTAAAACTTTTTACTTGTATATTTTTAAATGTATACTCTAATTAAAATCATTTGAACATAAAAAATTGGTACCACATTTTACAGATCTCAGAACACCTTGGGTCTTTTGCATCTTATTTGAGACTTTTAACAACTCTCACTCCTCTTCTCCCTCCCTGCCAGCCAGACTGCCAGGCCAGCCTTCATTGCTTGGTTATTTAATGTGAAAGGGAGAACATGATCATTTAAAATGACTCAACCTCTTTGCTGCTCACAAATTAAACAGCTAAAAGAAGTAAAATCTGAGGCTGGAGAGATGGCTCAGCAGTTAAGAGCTCTGGCTGCTCTTTCAGAAGGTGAGGGTTCATTCCCCAGGACCACAGAGCAACTAACAACTACCTGGAGCTCTAGTTCCCGAGGATCTGGTGCCCCTTCTGGCTTCTGTCTGCAGTGCACAGGCATACATACAGGCAAAATGCTTAGTCAATTAATCAAAAAGGAAATAAAATCAAGAGGCAATGTTTGTGGGCATATCCATATTATCTGACTCATTACAACAATTTGCCTATTTTGTTTCTACTGCTCCTGCCTTTCTTTTTTTTTTTTTTTTTTTTTTTTTTTTTGGTTTTTCGAGACAGGGTTTCTCTGTGGTTTTGGAGCCTGTCCTGGAACTAGCTCTTGTAGACCAGGCTGGTCCCGAACTCACGGAGATCCGCCTGCCTCTGCCTCCCAAGTGCTGGGATTAAAGGCGTGCGCCACCACCGCCCGGCCTGCCTTTCTTTTGAAGGTAGAGGATTTTCTCTCCCTTACATTTCTGTCTTCTTCGATTTCAACTTATGAAATTTCACAATCTTACATATTGAGTTTTCAAACATGGCTGCCAGAGTGTTGGTGGGTTGTTGTTGTTTGTTTGTTTTGTGATAGGATCTTCCTTTGTAGCTCAAGCTAGTCTAGAACTCATAGACCTTTTGCCAATCCTTGTGCATGTGTGAGCCTCTTCACCAGCTTCATAGGGCTAGTCCCAAAGTCCATCCATCAATATACACTTTAGTATCTACTTTGTGTCAAACACTGGATTAGAGAACTGTATCAATGCATAAAACAAACATGTTTGCTCTCATGGGGCTTATATTCTAAAGGAGCTGGAAAAGGCACTGGAAAAATATTAAAACAAAATTCTGAGTATGGATAAAAGAAAGCAGGAACGGTAAGAATATAAAAAATACATTGGAATTAACTGGGCAGTTGACAGGTTGCACCTTTAATTCTAGCATTTGGGAGGCAGAGTTCCAGGCCAGACTGGTCTACAGAGTCATTTCCAGGACAGCTAGGGCCACACAGAGAAACTACAAAAGAGAGAGAGAGAGAGAGAGAGAGAGAGAGAGAGAGAAAGAGAGAGAGAGAGAGAGAGAGAGAGAGAGAGAAAATGCACTGGAGTTAGGTCACTGAAATATTAAACAATAATCAGGGTAAAATATACTGAGAAGTTCCATATCCAAAGGTTTGAAGGAAACTATGTGCCAACTAAGTAGACAGTGGTAGAAAAAGTCTTTTAGATTAAAACCATACCAAACCAAACCAAACAATAACAAAAACCCAAACAACTAAGTACAGAGGCCCTAAGTCGGGAGGTGTAATTATTTTCCTCTTTGCTTTAACAAAATACCTCAGAAAAACACTTTAAGGCAGGGTTTACCCTGGC